CTTACGCGTCAAGTGATCCAAGTCTTAACCGGGTACGGCCAGTTCAAGGCATATATGATGAATCTTATGGAGAATGCACGTACTCATATTTACGAGTATTGCTCTCTGTACCCGGTGGAGGACACGGAATTAAACATGCGATCTTCCATTGCGGAGCCATTAGGTGCGACGTATCACTAAATGGTGGTTAAAGAAATTGTAGAGGCCATGCTAAATCCAAAAGATTTTGACGTGGACGACACCTTGCCGATTCAGTTTTTTAGCTTTCATAGCAATGAGTGTTCCAAACTTTGCAAAGGTGCTTCCGGGGAGTCGCGGTTAGTGGGTAGTCGCTCTTTACCTTAAGAGCCCCTCAACATCAAGGAATGAATGCCCCTTAAGTTTAGTGGTAGTAACACTTTGACCAAGTGGTGAAATTTGTGCAGGCGTGCCAGGTGTTTCATACACGGATTTCTTGAAGTTTCCAACTAAAAGAGATATCGATACAGTATCAATACCTCGTACTCGTCGTCTATTCGCGGTTGGTATACATTATGGCACGGGCGTTGATGCCCATTGAACCAGACGCTGGAAGGTTGCCGTCTCCACAACAACTAACGCGGTGTCATAACTTAGATCTGTAAGTCTATACTAAAGGTTTTGGGAATCTACCCCCAGTTCATTGAACAGAACAAAATAGCCGATCATGTTTGCATTTATTAAGGGAACTATGGTATCTGTCGGTTATGGTAGATCACCTTTACAATTTTAGGTACTTCTCATTTCCAACACCCCGTTCATAGTCGCGACTGTTTCAGAGAGTGGTTTTGTTCACTCCGGGTTCGTATAGAGAGCCGCTGCCGTCCACTTGGCCACCATATCTCATTGTTAATTAAAAATAATGAATATCTCGAATTTGCTGAATGGCTAGCAAGAATATCTGCTATGGTAAAGGATGATAAATGTCTCCCTCGTATATCTACGTATGCATAGAACATAATAACCACCGCTGGTGGAACGCCGCCGGTGTGGGCGTCATCTGACAGCCGTTGTCCATTGCTTGATTGACTCTCGTCATTGTTTATAATGCACGTAGATTAACTATGGTGCTTCTTATACGCATCAGAAGTTAAGGGTGCCACATTTATTACGCATATACCGATGATTATAATTTCGAGAAGCCTACATAGTTTAGTCGTCATTCTTGTAAACTGAATTATCTTATAACTGCCTGCATGGTCACGTGCTATATGCCTTCCTTCTACGGCGGCGAAGCACAACATAATAAGCGATTAGATATGCGCAACATAGCCTTATAACATACTTGCCCTGCTATACGGCTTTATAGGCGTTTCGGCCTGGAAATACATGGAAAGTTCGACACCGTAGCTACGCCGCCTTGTTAGGGATCTTATTTACTTCATATTTAATCTGCAGTTTAAGGGAGTACATGATACGCGTAAGGTAGGCCAATTCGAGCATATTAACCTGACCTACTTGTCGTGACGCAGACGCTTTCTATTACTAGCATTACCGGGACAACTTAATCGATCGGCGCTAAGATACAACCAACGCAAACGAAAAAACATACGTACTTTTTTTAAAAAAGCGTACGTACTTTTTTACATCAAGAACACTGCAGTGCTTCGGTTTTTGATAAGAATTGCACTTAAGAATCACTTTAGGAGGCACATTAAGCTCGTCAAAGATCCCTAATAATTGTTTAATGTGAAGACAAACAAGTGAGTGCCTTACAAAACTTGAAGTTTTAGATGTGCAGTATGGTACATCCTAAGAAAATGAACACTCGATTTATGAAGCTTTTCTAAACTGCTAAATTATATGGGGTGAATATAATATTCTAGGGTAGACGAAAATGCTATTAGCTTAAGTAGCGTACTTTCTTGAATATTCTTCTTTTGAAGAAAATGTTTACACTATGGCGTATGAATGCACCATAGATACCTAGTTGATTTGCAACTTTCAACTTCAACTAAAGAGTGCAATCCTTATTTATCTTTGAATGCCACTAAAATAATAATAATAGTAGTATATAATTATGAGTGGCCATACTTTTATCCTAACGAACAATCTAGTAAACGTGGGCACTTATAGTCATTTCAATAAAGGTCTCGACACCTATAGGCTATTTTGGCTGAAAGCTACTGGACTGTTTAATTTGTAACATAGTTTCAACTGAATTTCAGTAATAATAAATCAATGAGCAAAAGAATTATACCTACGACCCTACTGGATGCTGTTAGAGATCAGGTGCAGCGGTTACTTGATAACTTAAGACTAACATAGGGTTCTATGATCAGGTCTCCTAAGTTTAACGGAAGTTACGTGCCCTTAATTCTAATGCTATTAATGCTAATAAAATGCTAATAAAATAAAAAAAAACATTTTATTCTACTCAGTCACTGGACATAATCCGTCAAATGTGCCAAGAATTGTTGACTACTTTAAGCTAAAATCCACCAAGTGTATTACAAGTATACCATGCTATAGGCCTTCGTTTCGAGTTTTGCGTCCGGTATTGTCGTCCATTGGACAGCTAACTCCCAGCATAAACCGAAGTCTGTCTATGGCTTCGTACTTAGACCATAACGTGTTTCTAAGAAGGAACACGTTAGGATGATCTCGTAGGATTAATGGGTAAACACGTTACCCATTAATCCTACGAGACGGTAAAATTAGCCGAGCAGACGATGTTTTTTGAAGTGAGCAACTACTCGATCATTGTTTCTTTACTCAAACTTCCGCATTTTTTTTAAACGGACGGTTTGAAGGTACAGGATCAAATCACGAATTTGTCGAAAGTTTTTCTCTTATTGCTAAGGATAACGCCAATAGTACACTTGCAGTGTGGCCTTAGACCTGTTGCCAGGGGCACACGAGAAGCGATACTGATTTATCGCCGCTATATATTGAATAGCTATACCGAAAAGGCTTTTTGCATTTTACTAAACTTGCTACAATTACGACCATTAAATCGGGTTCGAAAATTAAGCTCAACATTGTATCATCGAGGTGCATGCTGGATTTTCAATTGCTGTCCCAAGCGAGCTTCACATATGATCACGGAGACCGCGTCTATACAATGTGAGGTTCCTACATGGTCTAGTGCGGTTATTAGGGACAAATAGACGTCTGCAATAGTGACATAGAACGATTTTCAAGCACTGCATTGTACGTGTCCGCATAGCTACACAAGCTAAATGGACACCAAATCGTCTGTATTGTTTAGCTCGCAAACGATGAAGTTCCCAAAATAATGTAGACTTGATCTGTCAGAGGACTATATAGCTATCTTCATTTGGAAATGTTGGAACTTTTTTGTCGTCATTTTTATTTAATCGTCAAGGGCTATACCATATTTCGTGGCTGTGTAACCAATAACGAACGAAAAGGCCTATGTCGCCACATATCATGACCGGCTTATCACCACGATAAACTAGGCTACTATCTGCTTATAATAAAAAAGGATTCGCTGATTTATTGGCTGGTCTCCCCATTCTGCTACCGAAAGTTGACGAGTGATACACTACCACTCCTGTCTAGATATCTCCTGACTATGTTAAGCGACATCCGCAATTACTTTCTACGCTTATGTCCCCGTATAATAGGCATACAATATGTTGGCAAGGTTTTTCCAGCTAGGTCACATAGTTTTCACGCCCACCCATAGATTGGCCTTTGCAACCCCTTGCATTCTTCCTGGATCGGACAGTTAAGTACAACGCTTATTATTATAGCAACAGAGGTTATTCCTACATTAAGTCAGCAGTGATGGGAGCGCCCACGATAGCAACCGGTTTCTGTCTATTATATCAAGAACAACTCATCCACTGGAAAAGGTGTTCAAATAGGATTGCAAGTATGTTCTCAATAAAGATTATATAGGCAACTATACAGCATAGTAGAGTAAATCCTGTAATACCTTGCTAATAAATGATATTACTATTGGATGACGAGACAGAAGCGGCGTATATATCGACCCAATCTGTCCGAGTACTTCCGAGTATTATGCTCATCTAACAGTGAAAGGCAATCTAAATATCTCGGGTGAGTGAAACTTTGAAGAAGTGAGAGTTATATAAGACCACCGATCTTAAAAACCGTTAAAAACTTTGCAACAGAAAAGGGTCAAAATGATATTTTTTTGACTATGTTGTTATTGCCGCGAGACAATTGACGTAGCGACATGGAACGCTTGGTATAGGCCTATACAATGTTTAAAATTCGGCGGCAAAGTATCTGAATCAGGGTAATCTAGTCGAAGGCAGATAACAGTCTAACCTATAACGTTTAACGAAATAATGGAATGACGACTGACTGCACTAGATCTAAAGCGATATCAGCTGTGACGATGTAATGGAAACAATTCAATAAGTTAATAATAACTAAATAAATAAAAAAAAACCCAATGAGTTTAATTCAAGACTCGGGTTCTAAGTAAGAGGACCTGAAATTTCTTTGGTGTTAAGTTTATATGCATACTGCGAATATATAAAAATGGCTTGTTCTACATTTATTATGATTCCGGTCAATACTAAACAGGTTGAGTAACGACAGTCGCTCGATCTTTGCAGTAATAACACTAATCACCTTGAATAGGAGATTGGTTTTGAAGGGGAAATCCGCTGTGCGATATTCTTTCCCTTCTTCTGCGGCTATGTTTATTATTATAGATAACTGTGCGAATTTAACCCAAAATTTTAAAGGCTTACGGGATTTAAGAGGCGAAGTTATACGAAACTTCTAACAAGTTTAGGGAAACGTTTTCTGGGTGTTTGTGACGTATAGTGCAGTATTTCCGCTAAAAACAAATTACAAGCATCAGAAAATGTCTATTCTACCTGAAACGTACAGGACTGTCTCTAAAATCCTTTTGTTCACGCGACCTCCTGTTTTCTACGCATTATTCTGAGTTGTATATTGACGTTGACGCATACCACCCTGCTGCCGTTAATGCCGTTGTTACTTTTATTGTTTCGGTGCATGCTGGTGTGTTCCAGGTGAAACGCACCCATTTCGTAACTCCGACGATCTATGAAACCCACGTTACTTCACTGTGGGTCAAGCAGTATACACTGCTGTTACCACTGCTAGATATTGGCAATTCTGCTAGACAATGCGTAGCAGCACAACACAGAATAGATTAAATTAATCGGCTTACCGAGCGAAGAGTACCTAGCAAAGGTCATTGCTGAAGCAACGCTCACAACACTGCAGTGATAGGCATTCTATGGAAATGGAGAACCGCACAAAGAACAAACCTATATGTCGTGAAGATGTCTCGTCGGACGGCTTCATTCTTGCTATGCAATGAAGGTCATGGGTGAACACTGGAAAACCGACAAAACGAACCCATACAACAATTGGCCGTCGGAAACAGTATAGAGGTGTGTGTATTGCGGACCTTAGCATACTTGAAAGGGAGCTGAGCGCTGATTGATTTTAGTTCATTCGTCCACACCCGGAGGTCTGTTGTCCTCAACTGAGCTGTCCAACGTCGAGCCCCCGCAATGTGGCTTCGCAACTGATTATGGTAATGAATACTCGTGGAAGCCCGCTAAATACATAATCACTAATTAAAATGGACCGAAAGCAGTTGGAGAGCTACGCTCGATTGACATGTCTGTTTCCTATTGTTATTGTTTTGTTTATGAAGGAAAGTTGACCGATGGATGCATACAATAACATTAAAGGTTGGATAAGTTAATAAAATAAATTGCAATCGAGTACTACATATGGCACTGCAGCGGGGTAGATGGGATGGGACGAGCAGTTCTGTTCTCTTCTTTTTAACCTCAGTCACATATACCTTTCATTGAGAGACATTACCACCATATGCTTTATAAATGATTCACAGTATATTTATAACGCTTTGGAAAATGATACTTTCTTATGCAGTAAGCAAGAGGTTTTTTATTATTTCCATGTATGTAAATCTATTTCAATTGGTACATACCGAACGTGAATGTAACACGATTATAACGATGCGCGGCGAAAACATTAAATTCTTAGGTAAATGTGTATGCTTCTCGGACGCATAAAGGCTGTATAAGGCCGCATAGTTCGCCAGTAGCATTTATGTTATTTGCAGCAGAGTGGTTCATCGGAGTTCGGACAAACTTCCAGCTGTTCTATTCTAAACTGTATTCTAAATGCCAGAAGAAAACGAGTTCTTAGGAAACAGTAATTTTATTGATAATAATATGATGAATAATAATATAATAACGGACGACTTTTATTATAAATAAAAGTCGCCCGTCATTTTCTCTGTTTGCTATTTATTTTAGCTATTATTCAATTTTTGCGCGCTGGACGAACTCCCGCTAATATTAACACATTCTTTTGCCTAAAGTCGACGGTCCATATAATTACCAGCTTTCATGCGGCTGCCTGGTATCTGAGGAAGTTCCTTGATAGGATTCAAATATACGATGCTCGAAAATCCATCAACATGATTCGAAAAGCCATCTTTGATATAAACATTTAAGTCAACGGCGTTTTGGCACGAAGAATATCAACTGCCAACGGAATTACCCAGATGAGCCGCAAAATTAAAAATTCTTGCATTCTTTCTTTAAGCTTTTTTTAGTCGTTTTGAGCTGGCACATTTTTGGGATCACTACCAGTTGATTTTCGCTGAGATATTTACTATGTCGTGTATCTGAGCGACACCTAGACGAGCTTGCATAACGCTTGACGCACGATTACTTTCAAAAAAAATCATTCTACAAATCACTAGTGATCACAGCTGAAGATGCAACCGTGACGCAATAAACTAAACATCTTTCACACATAGGATGATGACCAACACAGTTTATATCATTGATGTTATACGTGACAGGAACTTTCATTATTATTATTATTGTTAAATTTTTTGTTTTTTTTTTTACATTGTGTAGTCATGCGACACACCGCTGGTTCGGCGCGATGGAAACTAGGTGTTTTGTAATCTTTTTGCGCGTCGCTCGTATATCAAATTAGTTTAATTTTATAATATAATTATAATTTTATAATTAATAATAAACTATAACAGACCATGCGTAACGGGAACTGACCCTGGTAACGCTGCTTCGTTTTTCTTTCGATTTATTCCCACGATAGTCGCGCGTCTAAAACTGATTTCTCATAGCCGTGTATGTATATGTCTCTTTGATTCACCAAAATTTACAGCAGCCTGTGAATCATTTGTAGGACAGAGTTCTCACGCTATTGAAAGTGATGCTTTCTAAGTCTCGCTTCTAATCTGTCGATCTCTTAAATTGTAACAATGTAGCGGCAGCATTTATGTCTGACATAAGTGTCTATTAATCGAATGTTTGGATAAGATTCGTTTAGTCGGAAAGACCATATCGTTAACTAATTTTCCTGTATCCTTAATATTATTGCGTGCTATAATGATTGCTAGTTATTTTTCCTTCAAATTTTTTACAATTATATTTGAGCATATTTTATTATGATAGAGCGATGGATGTATATATAGACATTTGGAACTCCCACGTCAATGGTTAAGGCTGCATTAGGACTTGGTCAACGAAGCAGTCCGCTAATGGGATCATCAGGCGCTGTTATTGATAGACGTTGATATTTCTGAATAAACTGGTGATTTGTGAAGTACACTTTCAGTTGTAGACTGTGCTGTGTGTACACGAGTGCTGCTTTTTTTGGTTCGTATACTTTCACGGTTGATACCACAGAAACTAACGCTAAAACAAATTAACGCAACTAACACGAAAGGTAAGAACCTCTAAATCATTTCTACGCAATAATACAGGATACGGAAACAATCTAAATTATTTACTGATATCACGACAAGGCTTTGAAGCATCGGTTCTGGTACCCCATAAAAGGGAGTAAGTTGACACACTAGTCCTTGTCCTTATAACTTTTATACTAGGAACTGTCAGCAAATAACATCGAGGCCACATTACCCATATGAATTATTAACACTAGCGCTATACATGACGCATAGACTTTATTATACTAATTTCATCCTTTTAATCAGTATAGATTTCCCATAACAGACGCAACATTCTACAAGGTGCGTTTTACTCAGCCAGATTACGATGTCGATTGCGGTCCTACTAGTGACGACGACAATCCGTACACGAACAGGCATCTTTTGTACTTCAATACTAACAATGCACAGGCTTGACACAGGTGCCGACTCGCTTAGTGAATGGATATATGAAAAATGAATGGTTACCGTAACGGAAGATCCATATGTGTCTGCTGTAAATTATTTTACTCTCTACTAGCAAAACTTACCTGACTGACATACGCTCAAGTGAAGTGTTGAACTATTCAGCCAAAAGTTCGGTAACGGTATAAATTTTTCGAAAATCCCTTAGCAAAAAATGGCCGAGCATATCGTTATTGTCAGCAATTGGATTCAGAGATCCGTAAAATATTATTTATGGCAGGATAGGGGCTCCGATAATCTAATATATATATAATAAGAAAATCTAATGTAAGAGAAACATCAAATTAAATTTTTATTTACTATTATTATTTACTGTGTACAACATGCGGCCGACTAAAGATTGACTATCTCATTTTGCTAGCATTCTGGCTGAATGTTATTGACCTATGTGACCACGCAATAAACTATGTGCAATGTTACCTCGACGTAGAATTCCACACCGACAACGGTTTTGGTAAAAAGGCAATTCGGCCTATTTGATTTAGCATGCTTAACCTAAACAGCAGTTGTGCTCATAGTATGGCAGCAACATCTACTGGTAACAATCACGCTGGCCTGTCTTTATTTATTCTAGATAAAAGTAACAATTGTGACCACAGCTGAGCGGTGGTTTACAATCATTTGCTTGCGTTCAGAGCCCAATATAGCTACTGCGATAGGATGTCAATATTAGCATCCTATCGCCTTCGCTGACATAAAACCTAACGACTTTGACCGTTCCTATTGTAATTAGCCAACTAACTAGACGATTATTCTGTGCAACTTTCAGCTGATTAGAGTCACACTTTTCTGCATCCCTTGGCACAGTCCCGGGTCGCACGTACCAGCCCCAACCTTGAGACAAGTTATATTATTGATTGCCATTTACAACAGGTTGGCATCAGAATACAACAGATAGCCTTACTGTTCTGCGCCTAAGGCAGTAGAGTAGCAGCGACAAGCACGATGCCAGCGGGGACCATCGGCGAGAGTGATGAAGACGATTACATTATTCCAGCGGCATCGCGAGCAGCGGCGACGCCAGCAGCTATAGAAGCCCCCGACCCGTCTGCGCCCAGTTCGGATCTAACGTCAGCTGTCTCTCTAGCGTCTCCTAGAGGCTTACCCGCCACCGAAAATCCTACCGTAACTCTCCTACGAGCCGCCAGAGGTAATGAGCCACTTCAATGCGTTTAATACAGCCGCATTTAAAGCAGTCTATTACCTGCTTCATATGGGCATATGCAGTATACCCCCAATTCTGACAGAAGCTGTTAATCATATTTATCTAGCACCTGTTATAAATGTGACGTTGGCAAACACAGGAGCAGGCTAGTAACCTAAACCATTGATTTTCTCTACAAATAGACATTCGTCGTAATCCAGATGTGTTCGAGCATCAATCAGCTGTTTTTTTAAATTATTAATCAATTTTGCAAGCGATGCTACTTCGATACACTTGCACCGAGTTACCGGTGGTACCGAGGTATTTACATGATTTGAATGAATACACGTCCTTCGTATTACTTATTCCGTCATTACCCGTGGCTCTATAGAAGCTGTCTGCACAGACTTATTCGCACTCAGCTATGGGAGCAGATGGCTACCTGTTGTTAGCTACCTAGAACAAACAGTACTAATTATAAACTTTGTGAAGCCGACATTCTAATTCTATTAACAGTACGCATAATTTATGCTTGATAATTCCTTAGCCTATATAAGAAAGGCTAGCATTACTGCTATAGACGGGAGGACATTACACTGGGCAAGTTCGTCTCCCTCCAAAACATAAGTTTTACTTTTGACTGAATTAAATTACATTTGTCTCTACAGCTTCAACAGCTAAACGTGTGGTAGAAACACACGGGGAAATAGCCAGTCATGGCGTTACCTCTGTTTTCCGTTCTCGAGCTAAGCTTGGTTCGCCTAATTTTTTTTTGCCTTTATTAAATTCAGCAAAGACTATCTGCTGTCGTCCTAGTCCATTACTTCATCTTAACCCAACTAATATCAAGACGTTCTAAACGAATGCAGGACTTTCCACTAAAAGCTTTCCACTCTGTAGAAAGAACTGAGTTCATTGCTCTGCAGCTGTGTGCGAGATGAGTAATTTATCCTAGAGAAACTTGAACAAATCTTAGATCCTTTAGAACAATAGTAAAATTTTCCTTACTAGATCATAAGTGTTCAGCAATTTTTTTTGTAGGTGGTAGTGCCAAAGGGCCTTGTCACTATAGCAGCGTACAAGACGATAGGATTAGTTAAAAAATTTATTTGTAGCTGTGCGCACGGGGGCATACATTAGCGAGCCTGATGCGTTTTGGTTATACTTATCGTTTGTTTGTTACGTTGCTTACAATATTGTCTACTATATTTAGGAACGTACTTCGCTTACTAAACCAGACAATCATCTTAAAATCCAGTGGAGGAACAAAAAAAATCAATCAACAAGTCAGCCACCATTAACAAAAACATCGAAATCGCCCCCGATTAATCGCCCCCGATTGACTGTTGTACTATTGTGTCGATCTGTTTTTTTTTTACAAAATGTAAATGAAAAGCGCCCGTAAGCTGTCGTTTGTAAATTATAATTACTTTAGTTTGCGTACTTTAGTTGCTCAACAAAGTTTATAACACGGTTATCCAGGGGTAAAAAAATGTTCGAACTTTCATCTTGGTAACTTTATAGAATAGAGGATTTATGGTCGAAAACCAACTGCTGTGTCGATGTTAAGACGAATCTTTTTTTCTTGGCTCGAGGCGTTGCTAATAAATGTATCCGGAATGATAAGAAAAGTACGGCGTTCATCTAAAAGGAAAGAAACCCGAACGAGTAATAGGACCATTTGCTTCCGTGTCATCGGTTGCAGCGGAAACTCAGGCCTTCCACTGAACGGGTTCGAGTCACTCTCGCGTACTGTTGTTCGATGCATTGCTATTCTTTTGAAGTAAATTATAATATAGAGAACAAATAAAATGCGAGCTTCCCGAAGAAAATCGTTGTTCAGCAGGTTGTTGCTCGAAAAGGTGTATAATTGTTCCTTAAAGACTTGGGCAGTAGACTCTGCCCGTCTTATTTTATCATACCATGAGGTAGTGCAATCGACGAAAGAAGCACTAGAGATACCGCGCACCGTTAGCTTACCGCCCGAATATAACTAATTGTGTCTGCCCCAAGTTTCTAACGTGCACTTTAAATACGTTCATACGGTGCGGATATGAACTCATTACCATTGAAATATTTTAAAACTATTTTGCTCTTTTGTGACAACATTCGTTCTGTGCCTGGTTCTACAGAAAAAAAAAATGATAGACTCCCTGGCGGAAAGCCAAATAAGAAACAGCTGTGATGAAAGTACGTTACTGATGTTACTTCTTCATTGTGCGATGCGTGCCTTGTCAGCAGCCACTTTAGCATAGAATTTAATTCGATAAGTTTGAAGCTCAAAAATGGAAAAAACTCAATACCAGGTTGACCGCATTAAACGATAAGAAATCTCCGTCGTTCTCGAGACCCTTACTGTATCATTAACGGTAAGAAATCTCCGTCGTTCTCGAAACCCTTACTGTATCATTGCTTAGTCGTAGGCTCTGATACGGATACATAGTCATTGTATTACATTGCAAAAGAAAGCTAATATGAAGCTGGACTTATGGCCGAGATGAAATCTGCGGCTTCTCTCAAAATCAGGCAGGTCACATGCTAAGCCGTTTTTGTTTTTGTAGATCAACCAATTAACGCGTGTGAAATCCGGTCCACACTGAAGGCGTCACACAATTCCGCCTATATTCATAGGATAGTTAAGGCATTTGGTAGATCTGATCTAGTAGTTGCCTTATATAGTATAATGTCATAAAGTAATTTAGGTTCATTGTCTTTACGTCATGATTTATCTTGTCTGTGATGCTAAATGAGTTGAGCCTTTGAAGTAGCCTGTTATGGCAAAACGGCAGAATATTCCTAGACAAACTGTCTAATGAGTACCTAGTTTTAGTGTTACAGATCACATATGACATAGTATAGCATTGCTTGATATACCTAAACTTCCAGAAAACTCAACGGAGCGCAGGTCGTCCCCAGTAACGACTTCTGCGACAGGCGAGAAATCCGTGCAGAAATATTCCGTTGCAAATTTGCCGCTGCTTAATTGCGCTCCTGCAAACACGACGCTTATCGAAGGATTTGTCACAAAACACAAATCAACGCCAAAGGTACACGGAGTTGGACCTACAGAAAACGGGGTTCCTATCACGCCCAGAGGGGTAAGTAACTGTAAAAGGCTGTTAACCTTAACAGTGGTATAACGTATTTCTAAAAGGCAGACCCTTTAGTAACTGTAATTACCTATTTACTTGCACATTACTTTATTCTCTCGATTCCTTATCTTATCTGACCATGAAAGTAGGACGGCCAGCTATAATCTACTGCGGTTCAAGAGAGCAGGAACCCGAGCAATGTGCATAAGAAGAGGAGAACCTATGTTTTTGTGTAACTCATCACAATTGCGATATTTTTTGAAAAATTCACGCAAATTATCCGACTGCAATCGCGTGTGCTAGAAGTGTTCTATTGTTCTATAGGAAATATGTTTTGCTTCTTCTAGATTTAGGTAATACTTGAATGTACAACGCCTATACGCTATATATATACTCTTTGCCAGCCAAGTTTTGAGCTGTTTTGAGCTGTCAAGTATACTACCACTTGCCATTTCACTTGAAATTTCACTTGCCAGAAATTGGAAAAGGTGGAAATTCGTCGGCGCGGTAAATTCTAGAGGATGATGGGAGGGTGCCCAGGAGCCTTTTTTTTAGACCCTTGTAAGGCTAGTTTAACAAATTTTCTCATGTGTGGCCTGGTATTAGCATAGGAAAGAATGGCTTTGTCCTGTTTACCTGCTCTGTGTTGAACAGGCTCGTTTACCTGCTCTGTGTTGAACAGGCTCATGTAATAAATTCAATACACTGTCATACATATGTCCTTGTTGACCATCTTGTTTTTTCAGGCCTTAATAAAAAGATCCTTCCAGTTTCACTAAATGCAAATTATGGTCTTTTTCGAATGAAAGGCTCGGACCTATTCATTTTTTTTCGTTGTTTCATATAGGTGTGTACATAGTTAATCTAGTTACCTGCAACATTCGCTATGGAAATTTGTCGCTATGGCTACCTGTTGACCGGTGCCGCACGAGATGTTGAGAGTCATTGAGCAAGCGTGTTTTTATAAGTTTCACCCAACCTATGACGCATCCAGGCTTCTGACATCTGATAAGATATACATTAGAGTCTAGTATTGACAGCTAATCTGCTTGGTCCATTTAACAAGTTGTTTACCATCGAAAATTCTTATGGAATTCAGATACCCAACTAGAATAGGGTACATCCTCTAGGCCCAAATTCCATCCTTGAGCTCCCTTAGAATAATCTTCTCAATTATACCACTACCTCGCGCTGCGTTGACTCCTTTTCGATTTTCGTAAAAAGATAAATGACGACGTACTCTGTTTCGTCAAAAACGAAGTCTGAACTTCATGTAAAATTCACTGCACCATGATAAACGTATGTGTGTACATATGGTACATATACACTTCCGTGTTTGTATATTGTATATAAGGTCGAATAGTGTAAAATGCAATATAGTGAAGTCTTTGGTTTTTTTTTTTTCACAAGCATAGTTCTTTTATTTTCAAATGATTATCCGTGACTTCCTGTTATTCAAATAATCATTCACGATTACAATAATATACAATATAACCTATAGGATGAGGTAGTCTTTAGACAGAGACAGTTTGAAAAATGGTCACTTTGAAAAATGGTCACTTAACAGGAGACCTACTTTAATGGGTTAAGTGTCGCTTTGAGATGAGTGCTATGAAACAGTGTTATAGAAATTTTACAGATTTGGCCGTTGAACCTTGTTCGGCGGAAGAGCTAACGTCAGCGATATACATATATATATATATATATATATATGTCACGTTCAGTATAGGTAGCGGCTCTTAGGCGGGCTGATATGGTACCTGATAGGTGCTAAACAACCATGCGTTACCTGGACATGCCCACCAGTTCGCCCAATCTTGTTAAGTCCATCTCTATAATCTTGGCCGACAGTCAGCCACAATTGCGAAATTTGCTTATTGAAATTGTTTATTGCCCTCACATCCGCTTCGGGGCAGAACCGAAAAAGCCCTGTTCATGCAACACAGTTCAGTGGTACACGAATACATCAGCTGCCCAATAAAAGGATTCTCGAAGTCGACGTGCTACCCTCATAATCGCTGACTTGTCGCCATCTTAAGCGTGACACTGAGATGACAATAATGAAAACCTTCTTGTCCCTGTTGAAAAAGTAGTTGAATGCAGAGCTTGGCCGTCATGCCCATATACGGTATCCGATATCTTTCAGCTGTTTCAAAAGCGCGCAGCCATATGCTTAAGCTCTGTATTGTAGTCTTATGCCTACACATACGCGTAGCGTGTGCGCAAGCGAAGTAAACGATGAAAAGGTGGTCTTTCCATTCTTCACACAGAACTCGATATTTGGTACTGGCTCGCACTTTGTATCATTGAGTTTCTCGTTCGAGTCAAACGCTCTCTGCCTTTATGTTGAGTTCCGTGGGTCTATGCACTCCATTCACCTAGCTAACTCGCTCGCTCGCTCGAAGTCCCGCTACTGCCGTTCGCGTTGTTCATCGTCTATTCTCCTATTCATCGCGGTCACCCTTGCACCACCTACTCCTTGAACTACTACGCGAAGACTCAGCTTGCGCGGCGCGCCAAACCCGCTCTTTAGCGGCAGCGACGGCTATGTGACTGACTGGACAATATACTGTTAGACTGTTGTGTAGCGTGTTCGACTACCACCAGCTGCGCGGCACCAAATTATACAGCATTAGTCACAAGTCGTAGCCGTTTACTGTTGCACACTCGGGACATTCGCTGTATCACATCAGTCGGCGACTCATTCGACAGATCGGCTTGCGTTTGCCCTGCGTGCGTGTAGAAAGGTACACATTAATATTAAATACAACAAATCATTACATTTACGTTACCGGAGTGTCTGTGTGTTTGTGTATTTGTTTGTGCAGGTGTTGAGAAAAAAAGCTAGAAATATTACACTACGTGTAGGTTTGGTAGCCAGATCTGGTTTTCGGTGCTGTATCCAGATTGGAATTTTGGAATGATCCTAAAAACACAACGCGAACTAATTTAGTATCGCGATTACATGGATTACCCTAGTATCTGTGATCAATGAGCGCAATATTGCTTGAATACTCAGTGAACACAAATAGAGAATCACTGACGGCTGTTCCTGACCAAATGTGAATAGGACAAGAGTTTTTTAGTTTTTTAGTTCTTGCAGCTTCAGTTTGGCAAGGTCGTCGGTATTTATTTTATTCGCTTTGGTATTTCGTACTTTCCCACCGTCATTCAAATGGCAGATCATTAAGGAAATATCTTCAGAAAAAATCGCTATATAAGTGTAATAACCATTTACTTCTCCCATTCGTTAAGCTATCGCCAGTCGAGATTACCGTTTGTTCATCGTCATGCGTGCATTCTAGCTATTGCAACGAAGATACTTATTCTGTCTCTTCTGATTTCATCCAGGAATGTTCTCATGTTAGTACATAGCTCTAGCACTATAGAGCTTCTATTTTGAACTGCGTCTCTAATTCGGAGTCCGTACCGCTCGCCAGATCTCTCTATCGCAAATACGGAAACTATTACATTGGCATTATGGCTTTATTCAGTAACGTGCATCTTGAATTTTGCGTGCAACTGGATTTTGCACTAACGCACTATTGATAAAAAAAGTTTTATGTCGATTTTCACTCAGTACGATACGAGAACATTTCTTTAGATAACATAATTATTCAATACAACCCCAAGATAAAGGCCATAATCAGCGTTAGAATTCCCGAATATGCCTCTGCCCTGCGCATTTGCTCTGGATGTTGCCTAGTGCTAACTGTAGTTACTTTTTCAAACCCAACCTGTTTTGTCCTACACCTAATTCCGCATTCGGTGCTCCTTTGCACCATATAGGTTGATCTGCCACAATAGCTTTTACCTCGTTGCAGGTGTCTTATACCCTGTTTCTAGTAATCCACCGCACTGTTCTTATTACGCCGCTAATTTGCTACAGTTATTTAATCACCGTGTTTTAGCAATTCGATTACGTTATTTTTGTGTTTCTTTTCCTTACTTTTCTTCGTTTATTCAGTTACCTTGGTGTAGCGCTGCTCATTACGGGATGTCGGTGCTCAGGCGTTTTACCCTACAAAAAGAGGATGCATAATAACCGTGCTCTAATGCCGCGCTTTTACCGTTCCTTTGTTTTGTCTTGGTTGCAAAAACCATATGACTATACTACCGCTAATCCGTTAGTCCTTATTACGATTGTCTCGTTATCTCACGACGGAATCATTTATTTCCATCTGATGGAACTTTCATAGCTTTTTATAAATATTAAGCATCTCAGGAAATCTAATGTGAATTTGACAACCTAAAGAAATTTTTTTTTAGGTTTTCAAATAAATTAAAAAAACAAGGTTTTACGTATTGGTGAGGAAGTACACCGCTTGAATGTAAGGCAAATATGGAAAAAATATTTCAAATTTTGTAAGTATACTTTTGTCTTTGTTACGCAGAGCTCAAAGTACTAGCAAACTTTTGTATCTGAACCTTTGAAAATACTCAGTTGTTGTCGTAAAACCCACCAAAAATGCTTCTTTCGATTAGAAAATATGGAAAGTCTTTATTTTCTGCAGCTTGAAGTCGATTTTCCCCAAACATATCATTTTCAGTGTAAAATTTCCTCATGATTCAAAACCTACATAATCGCTTAAATTCGAACCAATTTTAACTACCTATTTATCATAGCAAGCATGTATTTATGCACAATTTTCGATACTAAAAAAAGCCAGTTTTTTCTAAAACGAAACAGCACACTCATGACTGTTAAAAAGAGCGTACTGGTTTCGCAATTCGAGCGAAGATCAACTAGTATCCAGTCTTTCTGCGATGCATAAACCCTACCAAGATTAAAAACCGACGATCCATGCTATTACCGAGTTCTCAGGGGACACACCGAAAGATCTTCAATAGGGTTGAGATCTAAAAAGCTCGAAATTTATCAAAACGACTCAATAACCAATTTTATCATTTTTCGGTATTTGATATAGCAATTAACGGCCGTTTTAAAGTGAGGACTATTGATTGCCTATCGGGTGGTACGGATGAGCCTCAACGCTTAGTCTGATCGGAACTTTTGACTATGTTGACCGTTTGTAAGCCATTTTGAGACGTTTGACCTGCCCTCAACTCAAATTGAATTCGGTTGAATTTTTTGCGTATACCATATATAAGCGAAATTGTAAAGAATTCACAATTACTAATATCGTTTAACGCACGGATACTATTCGAAGTTCTATATGAATAAAGGAAGAAATATTCTAAAGACGACTACTTAATGGTTTAGATTTTAATTTGAATCTGTAGTTGCGGTGGAGGATGGCTATGTTAGATATAAGCGCTAGAAATAATACTACAAGCATATGTAATCAATTTATCGAAATATCTTTGTTTAGAAAAAACAAGCAAAATGGCCCAACCTCTCTCTATATATATATAGAATTGTTGAAAAAATATTGATCGTTTTCAAGCCAACATTGAACGAAGTATTTTTTATATTTTAAAATAATGTTACTAGGCTAAATATGGGCCATTTTAATCGATACCTTCCACCATTTTTCCGGTAACACCATAATCTATGTTCTAATCATAATCTATGTAAACGTCTGTGTTTTCCGAGCGAAAAATTGTGACAAGTTACTTTTGCATCTCTTCTTTAGCACCATTAAGAGGGTTTCGCAGTGACTGAAATAGTCTGGTAGTGCAAAACTCAAGCAATACGGCAGATGCATAAAGGTGTTCCATCTAAGTTCTTTCAATCTTTGTTGAGTAGCAAAAAATATATGTACTTTGGCTTTGTCGTAATGCAAGGTAACGCATTTTCTGTTTACTAGTTCCAGTGGATTCTTTAATGGTTTGTTGTAGTTGATGGCAGTAAAGCTAGTAACTGGCACTTCGGCCATCGCGACAGCAACTTATAGTGCAAGATTTCTTTTTGATTTCGTTCCAAAGACGCTGTATTATGACCTTCGCCGTCAGTCTGGCCTTTGCCATTTTTTGCTTGTGTATTGTTGGTGTGTGTGATCCACTTTTGATCATCGTTATACAAATGGTTCAACTTCGTTACCATTCCGTGTACTTACGTAGATGGAACTACGATAGCTGCTTCGATTTGTGTGGCACCCACACATCCAAGTTATTCTTATAGCCAGTTTTCTGTGAATGATTTAAAATTATCTGGTGGTGGATGTCTAGTTTTCGGCGGTATTGTAACTAATCATGTGTCGATTTTGGTTAACTTTCGCAATAACTGCTTCAGCTTTTTCTGCAATTGGTTGAGCCCTGCGATAAGCATCTTCACACTGATATTTTTATAATCAAAGCGACAAAGCGCATATTGATCATAAATAAGCACACACTTCTTACGGCCTTTAGTAGTGATTGTGCCTTCTTCGCAGTAAAGTTATCAAATACAAGGACTTTTTGCAGAAATATTTTTTTTAGAATACATTTTTTACTCATCTTCGAAGCGCTAAAATCCTAGGCCTGAAGGAAGCATTCCAACAATTTCAGCACATCTGCTACAGTGAAACCCTAACTTTCAACTGATACCACGCCGACCCGATCCGCCTCCTATCACTATTGCCTTACCTGGTTAGAAAAACGGTCAATACTTACATATACAACTCATACTAGCGTGAAGGTCTCAATTACGATAATCATAGACCGTTTCGACTCTTATTCAGAATATAGACGATGAACATGGCAGAGATTGGTATAGAACAATGTACAAGCGGTTGCACACATACAGGAAGCCCCAGGCAGACCAGGAAGTGATTACCGTACGAGTCAAGCGAGGTCTTGCACATTACAGGTATACTTGTATTAACCTTTTATGGAATATTTGATAAAGTTATGTGTAAATATATCTAGTAAATACCAATTGTTGGTACAGCAGAATGTATATCTAACGCATATATGTAAACCCTATGCATCTGTAACAAATATAGTAATACAGCCTACAGTTGATCATTCAGCGCCAGCACAGCCTCGGTGTTTGCTACCAGATGATATGTGAATACCGCAATGCCATTTAATGTAATTGAAACTATTGCGCCCTTACCACAGGTTGCAGCATTTATTTATCATAGAAGTCAGGAACTTCTACGGCCATTTATAATATAATAAAAAATCTTTTGCAATTCAGGGACGACGGCTACGTTTCGGAGCCAGAGCATACACCAGCTGAGCGGCGCCGTTTCAGTGAAAAGCGGTGGCCTTACGAACATCCTGAATATCAACGACTCAGTTCTGAGAGCAACGAGCAGAAAACATATTCATCCTATAGGTAACTGAATATATTTTTCGATCTCGCCATTCTATATTCTTCTTTGTTTCAATTGATCTTTCACAACGTAATTGCCGTACCTGTCATAAAGCACACATTGACAGTAAGTTCTGAAAAAAAAAGTGGAATAGGAGCTTCCCTAACAAAGCTGATTCTACACGAAAGTGGACCGTAGTCATTTTTGTAATACTTCTTATCTTACCTGTTTTGTTAACATAGAGTAAAGCCTAAAAGGATTGAGGATTATCAGCCAGGGGATTCATCGGTGAGTGCTGTTGATAGCGCTGTTCAGCGAGACAAGATGTATCACCAGCACAAATACAATCCGCCAGTTCCGACCCCACCAAAACCAGCCTAGTGAGTAGGAACTGCTATCAATTTACATGAGTTAGAAACAGAAAAAAGAGCGCTACGCCTAAAGACCACAAACGTGCTTGTCTTGCTAACCCCTGCGACTAACACTAGCCTAGGTAGACATTTAATTGAGACCAATAAGCCATGAAGCACTGTCTGTTAAAGCGTTCCTCTTCTCAGCGTCTTCAACGACGACGATTCCTATAGGATGGTCAAGTTGGCCCAAGATCTGCCCCCAATCACCGCGAGCAACGCTACGCAACGGGACTGGTATCGGAGCGTTCAAAAGGGGCATGATATCCCACTTGGAGGACTCCGAAAGCCTCAACCTTCTCCGCCTAAGGGTATGCGGACAACTTATGAGACTTTAATTTAGAACAATAGATCTATGTCGGCAATTTTTTTCAATTTGCTTGTTTCTATTTTCCGGCTTGCGCGCTATATTAATCTCGTTTATTTATACCTTGGTACGGCTAGAGGTAGTACTGAGATAGTGTATTTAAAGCGCGCTCTAGCTATTGTGCGCTTACGATAAAGCAACTACCATATCTATTTTAATTAGGAACCTGACATACTATAGATTTACTTATATTATATATATATATATATATAATAAATAATATCATAATAATTATATATATATAGATATATATATATATATAATGTGTCAGAATGATTAAAGGAGTGGAATCAACTATATATACCATACAATATGAAAATTCGTTTTCAGAACTCCGCGTGGGTCCGTGCCCCGTTGTGCAATCAAGCAACCCCTACGAATTTGATTTTTGCGGTAATTATCTATTTCTGCGTTAGTAAGTAATGCAACCTGATGAAGTAATTTAATCCATAAATATGTTAGTGCATTTGGTATAAACAAAGTGCCAATAACGTACGCTTTATATTATACGCCTGGAAAACCAATAAGCCAACCATATTGTAGTATTTTCTAATTCTTCAAATGAAACTAACATTATTTTTTGCCTTTTGATTTTAGCAGATGCGTATAAATTCCTGGAGAGTCAAAACTTGGCGCTAGAACGTGACTACGAAGATCTGAAGGCGATGCGCCAGCGCAAGGAAGAGGAATTGCAGCAGTTTCGCGAAGAAGCTCAAATCAAGAAGCAAATCCAAAATGAGGTATTCATTTATACATTCTGTCATCCTCATAATTTAATTTGACCATGCATTTTTATCTTCAGTTATCGGTCTCCTTTATTTCTTTCCACCAATGACTGTTGATTCCGTAACAATTTGTCCGATATTAGGCAAAAGTGTTTGAAAGAGATTATAAGTGTGCTATAAACTCTGCTGTCCGTGTGTTTTTGTAAAGTACTAAAATGCTTGCCATAACGTGTTATGAGTAGGGGCACACTTTCGCCGACGAACTTTTCACCAAATCAAATAATTTGCAGCTGAACATAGCTAAAAAACGGTAAGCATACTTTGTAAATCCTGTCTTGATATTATCTTTCCTACAAGCACTTAACTGACTGCATTACATAAGGAGTACTTTTCCAATTGATAAATTGCAATAATATGTGTACAGGTGGATCAGGAAATGAGGCGTTATCATGATACACTACTGTCTGGCAACAAATCCCCAGTACCTGGAAATCGATATGACGGTTCCGCCTACGAGACGGTGTTCTTTACTCCGGATAACAAAGAGGTCATTATGCTAGGCAGGGTCATTTACGACTTTGTAGCTCACGCACCCAGGTACGACATTGCCAAATTTGAATTTACCAGCTCGATTCGATGTCTGTTTTTTAATCTTAAATACTAGTATGAAATACTTTCTGCGATATTACAGAACTAATTCTTAAAATCGAATGCTTTTCACAGTTCATTGGTATTTGTAGATTACTTTCGTTTAAATCCATCCGTCTTGCGCTGGACGCTGCATAGTTCTTGGAAAACCTCTTGGAAATTTTGTCTGCATTATGACGGAAAATACCAAGAAGCCAGCCATATAACATAGAATTTTAACGTCAATTCTGAGTCCATCTGATATATCGTGCTAGAATGAAATATATCATAAATTTTTACATTCTGTATGCATACATTTATCCAGTTTATTTTGTACGATATATTATATACAGTAATTTTCCGAAAATGTTTTCTCGTTTGTTCTGCAGGGAGCTGAATTTGAAAAAGGGTGACCTGGTCTACATTTTCAAAAAAATTGATCGCAACTGGTATGAGGGAGAATGTCTTGGACGGTCTGGAATCTTTCCTGTCAAGTAAGTACGAAGGGAAAAACACCGCTTAATAGAGAACTCTCATCGTCAGGCAATAAGAGTAACATTAAGTCTATTTCTACAACTCACATGTAGCGTGTTATTGATTTGACCCTATGTAACAGGTATGTTGATGTATTCCCGCCATCATCAATCGATACGCTTGCTGGAATCAAAGTGCAAGAGGGTTCAGCTATTGGCCGTTTCAATTTCCCTGCCAAATCTGCTACTGAACTCAGTTTCAGAGTAAGTATTCTATTTCGGATGAAACGTGGTGGATGTAAGTGGAGCGATGCGCTAGAAAGACGAAAAGTCTAGCAATATTTGCTCGCACTTCTTGCCACTAACAATGGTAAATGGGTGAATAACCATCTAGAACAATATTGAAACACCTACGATACTGCGAGGTAAACAAATGAACGGGTCAATTTTTGCAGGGTGACTGTGCTCACTAATATGAAGTGTTATTTCCACTTACCGAATCGATGATTTCTTCTGTTCACTTCTCTATTCGACTATATATTTGATGCTGTTTTCGACTTTGCATTCTGTTTTTTTGACAATCTAACAATGTATTTGCTTTGTTGGTCATACTATCATTGTTCACATTACTTAATTTTTACATTTAATAGGTTGGCGACAAACTGCAGCTGATTCGTCGCATTGATCATAACTGGTTTGAGGCCAAGATTGGAACCCGCCGTGGGCTCGTCCCAGAGAACTACCTTACCGTTGTTGCGGAGCCCAGCGAGATTCGTGTCCCAAAGTGAACAGCTGTTTTTAATTACTGATCACAAATACCTGTTTAGTGTCACCTAACTCTAATTCTGCTGAAGATCTAAGAGAGCATATTGTCAACAGTCAATACGCTCTCTCAGCACAGTCTGACGCCTGAGTATTGAATTTATTTACTGTTGATTAAAAAATTACACGTACCACGATTATGGCGATATATGATAGAGGTCAAATATCTGCTGATCAAATCTGTTAAGTTTGATTTCTGTTCGTTCTGCACCTTATTACGCGGCAAAAGGAATTATCCCTGCAAAAAAAAGGCCGATTCTCGTTTTGTCAACCAACCTCGGATAATTGAAAACCTGCTTTGGTTTCGGCATAGTTAATTTAGTACACAACATTTTAGCTTGCTCGATGATTGTTATGTTTTTTCCGTATGAGCTTACCTCCCGGTTGAAGAAAACATCTTTTTGTAACATGTAATAACATTCAAGCCTTCCTGTTTTGCCTTCGATCTCTTAAGACATTGTCCAAAAGACGATCATATTTTTTTTCTAGAATCCTGCCGCTCTTTTTATAATATCGATATTAAACTATTCATTTTATCACCTTAAAAAGGGTCAGCTAGCCCTAAGACCCACTTCTCAAGAATAACTTAATTGATTCGTTATCTTGCATTTTTTTTATTCAGTTATTCAGTTGTTGATTTGTTTTTCGTTTTGTTATATTACGTAGTGTGAAGACACAATGTACCAAAGAGATGGTAGGAGTAACTTCATTTCATATTCGTAACATTATTACTAACTCGAAAAAAGGTCGAGGCTTCACAAGGATTTGTCAAAAGATGGATCCTATCAGAGAAAGAAGGCTTTGCGATTTTAAATAAAAATTTATAGCATAAACAATAATAGTAACTTATACTAAATACTTACATCGCTGGACATGACTTTATTTGCACATTATTTGGCCTGTAGAGTAATACATTAACTTGAATATTAATCCATTAATGAATTATGATCAAGCAGTAATAGCACAATCATGTGCCGTGATTTATGATTTTTATTCCTGGATTTTTGATTTCCGGGCTGATTCAAATTCCTGGATTTTCACTGGCAGGTCCTTTTGAAGAACAGTGCTACTGTACGGCAACAATATCTCAATACTTTCTGTAATTATAATAACATCGTATTCAGCTTTCTCTCTCATCTCTAGGCAGAGTTATTATTGTTTACAAGTTGTTCTAGTGATAAGATATTTGCGGTGCAGAAAATTTATTATTTTATGTATAACTGGCTTCGCTTAATAAATATATTTATTAAGCGAAGCCGGTTACACATAAAATATCTGATCCTGCCACGCGTGTGGAGTGCACTATTGCAGTCAAACGCTCAGGCTAATATTTTAACAGCCTTTGCAATGTCGTCACAAACAATAAGACTATCATACAAATAAGTTACGGCGAAGGACAATGGTATTGTAATGGTCAAACAAAAGTTGTAATAAAATACAGAGTTCTCTAAAGAAACCAGCAAGGTCTTTTATTCACACCTTTCTGCTACTCAAACAATTGAATTCTTATGTCCAATAACTGTTATAAATCTTATAGAATTACGTCACGTTCTACCAAGTAAACCTTCAGACCCAGGATATATATATATAATATATATATATGTAAAAACAGGTATATTAAACCTAGAAGATACTTCCTGTATCGTATTCCTAATAGTGACTCTAATTTGACGGTTAACTTTTGACAAACGCTACGTGCGATCAACAGCTGTAAAGAGCGTATACTTTTATGAAGTATGTTTTTTGATTAACATTTTATCGACCAAATAGCACACTTCGATATAATTTATCATAATATAGCAGCATATAATATCATAACTATATTAAATGAAAAGTGGAACTCAATAAAAGGGGAGTCAGTAACAAAAACAGCAAGCAAATAGTACAAACTTTTATGCGCTAACTGGTCGACTTATAAAAATTCAACCCAGGGTTAATATGGTAAAAATGATGTCCTCACAACAACTCTATCGAGCGCTAGATTTGGTTAAAAGTGAAGTACAAAATCAGATACAACACACCATAATCCTAGTCTGCTGTAATTCCTGAATTTGCATTTTGAAAGTATTCGACAACAACTTCAAGCTGAATGTACTACTTAAACCAATTATGCTTTACCCAATATTTTCCTTTTATACGAACACCCGAATGAAGACTTTCTACTGTTGCCTCCTATTTTGTCTCTTCAGGCTAGTGATGAATCTAACACAGTGAACGTAAACTACTGAAGATAGAACACGAATAGCATTTAATAGTCATCAGCCCTTTTTATTATAAACCCGCCCGACTTAGTGTCGGTAGCTGCACGCCGCAAACAGACGATTTATTCTTTATCACTACTTCAGTTGCTGCACTATCATGGCCACGTCACCAAAAGTTGAGCGAGTTATTCCAACTCCCTCACGAGTTTGATTGTGGTCAATAGGTCAACAGCAGCAGCAATATGATTAAGAGCAATATCATTAAATTCGACCACATCAAAGAGGGAAGCAGGAAGAAATGTTGGCAAGCTGATTGCAATTACGAAACCTGGCCGTTTAAAAGCTGCCGCTATTGGTAGTAATATACTAGCTCCATATAACTTAGATTTTCTGGAAGGCGGCCACGTCCACCGACTGGACGTAGTCCTCGAACTCTTGGATTTTTTCGCTAAGCTCTTCGATCGATACTTTGTCGTCCTCGACGACACAAACAATCTGAAGCTTGTTAATACCATAGCCGACAGCCATAAGCTTTGAAATGCCCCACACCAGACCGTCCATCGTGATTGAACGTACAGCGGCTTCGAGTGCCTTCATATCGGTTTCATCGTCCCAGGGTTTGACGTCGAGTATGACGTTGGATTTTGCAATGGGGCCAGGCTTTTTTGATTTCTTTTCGGCGTAAGCCTTTAAGCGTTGTTCACGCACTCGTTCGGCTTCGGCATCAACCTCATCGTCCGATCCAAATAAATCCATATCATCATCATCATCACCAGCAGCAACTGTTGTTGGGACAACCTTCGCTGCTGCTGCAGTATCGCCGGCTTTAGCAGCGGGCCAGGCCTTGCGCTCGGTTGCTGAATATGAGCTAATGTGCGTGTACCTGCAATTAAAGCAACAAGGGGTAATAAAATATTAGTTGCACCGTGCAGTTTATAGATACCAGGAAATATATGCTGCATTTAAAGGTGCTTAAAACAAGTCGATTTAATCGTGCTTAATATTACGTATAATATGCAGCTTCGGTTAGCCTCAGGTCTACGCATTGAATTTGATTTCGGTCACTGCATGAGATAAACGAATTATCTATCTACGGTCTTGCGGACTAAATATCGCTTTTGTCCCAAGTAGAGGTTCTCATTTAAAATGTTCTTTCATTATACTAATACTTCTCCAATATAAACAGAGGCAGACAAAGGTTGACTACCATAGTCAAATACATTTCTAGTTATCAGCATTGGAAACTACGAGCATTTCTCCTCGTTATACATTTCGATATGCACATTATTTTCTAGAAAACCAAAATATTTTATTCTACTTTTACTCAAGAGATAACATCCTCAGAGCACATACGTCTAGACACGCGCGCATTAAGAAAATAGTGTCAAAGTAAAATGAATTTGTAAAGAACAGCTGGCGGTAGAATTTTATTAGTTTCATAGTCATATTTAAACTTTTTACTAAACCCGGATCACCCTCCCTCGAAGTGCCCCAATTCGTTCAGGAGAATGCCGAACAGTCGGAAAAGCCGATGTTGTTCGGCGACTTCAAAGTCAAACTTCAAGCATTTAAGTTCTGATAGAAACAAGTGACTTGAAGCCACATTTGCAGGCGTTCCACCATAAGTTGCTTTTTATGAAAAACGTTAATGGTCATTAGTGGCAAAAGTAATTTTGTCATTGAATGGAGATATTACTGAAAATCACTTGACGGGAAGAGTAAACTGAACACTGCACTCACCACCGGGATGCGTGAGGGAACTTCGCAGCGGACGGATTAGATCCAATCTGATCTATCGTCGCCATATCAGCCTGTGTTGGAACGTAACCCGAAATATAGCTGGCATTTTCCAGGTGGTCATTAAGTTTCCTAAGGCCATCGTCAGTCTTCAAATCTCCGAAACTCATTTTTTGCCTCGTGATGTCCTCAATCCACGTTGCCGGAACTGCTGCGAAAAAGGCCGCGCTGGTTTCGTTTCACGCCGATGATGACGCGCCAATCGATGTGTCCGCCGGGCTACCCAATTGGTCCGAAGAGTGGAGAGATCTGACAATTCAAAGATCCACATTAAAATCTATGGCTGACTTCTCGCGCATGTCAGTTGTAACGTACATCTGAGAAGCAAATAAAATTATCCGAGAACATTTTCATATAATCATCAACAAATGTTATTGACAAGACTTTCGATAGGATTTACTCATAAACACTTAGCTTTATCCGCATCGGGTCGTCTGCTGCTTGTCTTGGCTCGCGCTTTCTGATGATGCTAATGATCAGAAAGTCAATTTTTGCCAATAAGTGCGTGGGACATGCGTTGTGAAAGTCACTAGGTGGTCGTCAAATAATAATGCTTTGGTGAGCTACTCTCGATCGTTCCGTGTATGGACAGGCAGTTGACGGAAGGTCAGCAAACGACGATGGAGTCTACGTTTCCACGTAAGTGTCTGCGTATTGAACGGGTACACTTTCTTCCGTCAGAACCCGGAATAGCTTGCACCACTAAATCTTACTGAGTATCGTCAGCAACAGTCAAGAGCTGAAGGAAGAAACAGAGCTCTGTGCGAGGAGTGAGAATTGAAGAACCAGTCGCAACGTGTCTACATTCATAGCCAGAGCCAGTTAGCTGCTACAGTCTACTTCGAGGTCGACCGGCACGTTGGCACTTCTAACGGCACCATATAGATGGTGCAGACTTGAAGGGTCTCTATAAAATCTCTCAACATATCAAACGTGTTCCAGATACATCAAATAAGCTGCATCTTATCTTCAGTTGAAGTTTTTCCGAATACCCGTTTATAACAATAACAATAGCAGGATTTTGTTTCTTAAACGATGTAGATCGTTATAACACAGTCGAACACATTATGTTAAGATAGTACAACCGACCAATGAAATGAGTTATCGTATACTGCTATATATATATATCGTACGACTACTGTAAACACATCATGCAAAACTACATAGTTAATATTTTAAAAGCATAGTTAATATTTTAAAAACTATTTTGTAAAATCAAAAACTGCCAAAGGCTATCATAATGCCTATATTTCCTTTTTTTTTTGGTTCACTGCAGGAAAAGTTTTGTTCGAAGCATTGTTTTCATTGATTATATTCGGCCACTTATAGGACACAGGCCACCTTTAGGTTATTGCGTGATCATACGCCATAATAAATATCAGTGATTATTAGGGGTGAATCACGCTAAACTAAACGCTCCCTAAAATATGGCGTAACAGGTTGGTGTTGAGCGCTTTGAATCAACAGATACTTAGTTATATTTCAATGGATGGTTCTCCAGTTTATTAATGGAATAAATAAATAGGTAATGCGACGTGACGACGAACGACTGCCTTTTTTCATCACGACGTATTTTTCTTTCGATTTTCATGCGAGCGAGTCTTATCTGTTTTTGATAATTTATATTTGAGTGATTATGATGGGAAATAATGTATTAAGGCGTTTATGAAGGATCAATTTTTACGAGTTGTTAATTATGTAGTATCCATATTGGATTGTGATCGTAGTGTTTAGATTGAAATTACAGTTATACTAATATAATAGATGTTATAGGATTTCACTGAATGAAAATTCATGTTTTCAAACAAAAAATGTAACATTTGTAACAATTTTTTTTCATGTTGTACCATAATGAGCATATGCTGGTCCTTGATTGATCGCAACCATAAGAGCTCTGACTCTGTTGTTGTAAAACAAAATGAAGTTATTCAACTATATTATAAAGACACTAAAGTAATATACTTTGACAAACAACACAGACATAACAAAACTGAAAATGATCTGAGGTTTGATATCCGAAAAGATCCGTATGTTTTTTAAAAATTTAACGCTGTAAATACTTTTTTTTTTTATATTTAGAACCCGGATCCCCACTCTACTCTCCATACTTGAACTTCGATCCTTCATACTTAAACGCGGCTGGCCCTGAGTACATTTTCCCGGAGGGTGCTGGGGCTAAACGGGGGCGGTTCGAATTGGCTTTTTCGCAGATTGGGACATGTTTACTTTTAGGAAGTTCGATGGGCTGCTCTCGCGGTCTTATTCAAGGACTCCGTGAAACAAGTTCTTTATCGGGCGCCGTGCGCCGCAGTCAACTTATAAACTACACTATCAAAGGCGGTTCAGGCATTGCTCATCGTATCGGAACAATAGCCGTCATGTACTCAGCTTTCGGAGTTCTACTAAGTAAAGTTAGAGATACCGACGATGAGATCAACACTAGTAAGTGTGGCTTTTGGCCTCGAACTATGTGTTAAGCAACGTTTGTATTGTGCTATTCTGTCTATAAAAGTAGATAGGTTATATTGTACTCCACGTTAGATACAAGAACGCGAAAAACTCGTTAAAAAAAGTTATGATAAAGTACTACCCAACGTTACGACAATACTATAAGAATAATATGCGATACTATAATAAACAACAAATAAGAAACAAAAAGGGGATGAGTACTTAATACCTGAATAGGTTTGAGCGTCTATTTAGCATAAAACTTAACTACTTACGTTCGGATTGTTATTAAAGTTTATTTATTTGGCTTCTTTCTTTATCTGTTCAACAGTTGTCTCCGGCGGTCTAACTGGACTCTTATATAAGTCAACTGTAGGTCTTAAACGCTGCGGAATAGGTGGTGCTGTCGGTCTTGGAATTGCTTCGATTTACGCTGCAGCGACGAGTGAAGCTGTCCGCAAAATGTTCTAACAAGAATCTGTAAAAAGACTAATCTTTGTGACGAATTTCAGCTCTTTTGGCTAGGGTCCGATATGTTAACCTCGTGGTGAATGATATCGGTCTAGTGTTATTATCACTATCGGCTTGTACCTTGATAGTGCAACTGAACTGAAATTGAAAGACGGACGCAATATATATATCATATATATATATATATATATATATATATATATATATATATATATATATATATGATATACAGGCACACAAATGGAGATACACACTCAAGCATGAATATTAGTATCTACAGAAGACCCACATGAAACTGCAAACGCAAAGAAGGACGAAGAGCTGTCATTATGGATGCGTGCACATGGAGGAAAGACTGGAGATGTATCTATACCTACTGTAATATAGAAGTAAGACGGCATGATGTGGTCTTAATGTTTAGAAAAACATTTAGGGTAGTAAGTATTAGATTGGTCCCTGTTAGTTGAATGGGAAGAAGTCAAGGGAATTCATTCTTAATAAATTTTATTAAATACGAAATCAGTAGTTCGTTTTTCATCGTTCGTTGATAGCATAACTTAAGAAGCAGAAAAATCAGCAGCAATAACCTTATCGCAAAAACGTCGTTCTACAAAAATTACTTGAAAACTTTGAAGATCAAGAGTCAGAAAAATATCTACCCGATAAAATGCAGACTTCTCGAATGGCCTCGCGATTTAACGAATTTCAGAAGTGTCTAACAAGTTCGCATCTATGGCAAAAAACAGAACTTCAACGTCGGAAGTTAAGCGCAGAGCAGCTATTATCCAATTTCGTCGTGCAGAATAAAGCATCAATGGGAAAATAAGCTTCATCGCAAATAAAAAGCTTATGGCATTGCAAATGAGTACGCCGCTGTAGAAGAGAAGGGTTACAGCATAGCTTAAAAAAGACAACGATAGGCAGAAAAAAGTGCAGACCGAAGAGTTTATGGATAAGTCTAGAAGTACTCTCTGAAGAAATTGTTTCCAGGTTTATATTACCAAGGAAATGTTATATTACCGTGTCACAGATTGTTCACCAAAGGCTCAGATCCGCGTTTTACCTCAGTGTCTTTTGAGACCAACAAAAAAATACCTTCAGTAGTCAGTGTCGTATGCTTCCTAATTCCCTCAGAAATAAAGTAGCATATTATCTTGACTTTGAAATTTTTTCGATGCGATAGTTAACCACAAAAACAATCGTTGGCTTGTTCCCGGTTTAGATGATGTGCCAATTGTGGGCAAAAGAAACTTTTGAAGCAGTGGAGGAGATTATGCCACCATACCTCCCCCAGAGAGACAGACTTATCACTAATAAAATTTATCTGGATGTTTTTCGAATTGCTGTGCGATTGTGGAAAGTTCATATGTTTAATAAAGGGCTAAATGTTGTCCAGCCAGATGGCGCACCGACTATACTTGCCGCTGACTGCAGCATGTGCTGCTTAAGAGTAGGCATATTCTGGAATAAGCATATGGCTGCTAAGCAGCCCAGATTTAAACCCGTTATATTACTATGTATGAAATGTTATTGAGTGAAAGACCACCTATTCTTATTCACATGTGCTGTCGGAAAGGCGACTGTACATCTGCAAACGAAAAAGCTGAAGCCTGTGAGCAGTTTTCGTCTCGAAATGTAGTTGTAATGGCTGTTATATTGATTGAAATCTGCAATAATCAGAGGAAACGCTTTAAGCACACACCAAAAACTTTTCTGAAATATCAATCTAGCGCTTGGATACAGATAATACTCCCGACTCAGACGGGTCATCATATATATATATATATATATATATATACATAGATATATGCCATTCACTAACATCTACACATCTGTGTGAAGATAAAACTGGCAATGATTATAAATATCTCTTCATTAAGAAAATCAACAAGTATTTATTATAATAGATTTCTCTGTCATTAAATCTCTTCGTCCGTTTCACCGTGTATGTTTCCAGTTTCCATTTTTTTAATGTCGCATATTTTCAGTATGTATTTAGCAGACCGTTTTCGGAGCAACCTTGCCTGCTTCTCATCGTCGTTACCACGGCCGTTACGAACTTCCCCGGTTTCCTCATTCCCTAAAAAAAAATCAAAAACATACACCTTAGAATCACACAAAGAGTTTTGCGTTCATATTTTATGTCAGTTCGCACGTTGTTAACTTTAAATTTGTTGTTGAAAGACTTGCTTTAGTCACACTACAAAGAGTTTAGCGTCCATGTTTTATGTCAGTTCGCATGTCGTCAACTTTAAATTTGTTGTTGAAAGGCTTGCTTTAGTCCCACTAACTTTTTTTATACGAAATATAAAGCTAAAAGCTGTATTCTATTTGAGAACTGCCCTAATAGAAAGCAAAAGTATTTTTTTTTTTGTTTTTTTAGTCTCACGTTAGCCCAGCCCAAATGGCTTTCAGTACACATGGAAAATAATATCAGCCAAAATGCTTTCTGAAGTAACTTGCATAACTTGATCCGTTACTCTGCATAGCTCAACTCCAATTTCACCAATCACGAATCAGGTCGAAATTTGTTTTCGGCGCTCTTTGGAACACACGGTTCTTAACATACTTACAAAAAAAATGAAAAGAGTCAAATTACAAAACCGGGATGGCTATTCGAAGTCAGCATCGGGTAATTAATTCAGTCGGCCTGGGGACACAATTCCTAGCAGATCAGTTGTCTCTCACGCGGCGCAGCTTGTTTACATGCCTTGTTGATACCAAAAGTTGCTTGCATCCTATTACTTCAATACGTACAAAGGTTTACAGCATATTACGATAGAGCTCGCTATTGACTATTGCTATCGCCCTATCTTTATGTTAAAAGAAAAGAACCCAAGGATACCTTCAATCCACAAGTGGCAATACACAGTGATTCTTTATGAGTGAAGTCGTCCTTCAACATCTACCCTTGAGTTCTCTGAACATCAGGTGCGACGATTTTGTTCATTCACACACCCATTTCACTGAAAAGGAACCTCATCAGATGATAAGTCAAGGAATATTGCTAGTTGTTAGTTAAGAAGTTGTTAATATGTACATTGCTTTTCAACATGTGATCAGGGTATAAAAGACGCTTCTGATAGTCCTGAACATGTAGTGGTTGAGTCAACCATTCTCTGTAGGGATGAAGTAGTAACTCTTAAAAAAGTTGCAGAATGAAAGGAAATACGTCGTAGAGTGCTTTTTAATAGGCTGAATTCCCAAGGATGGCATCGCGTTGAGGTTGTTGGATCCGCATGCGTGCTAGTCGGTATTGCAATGATATTGTGATTAGTTCGTTCAGTTTGTGATCTCCCTAGCCTCACTCTCTTTAAGGGTGAGCAAGTCTCTCCGAATTTTTTAATGTCGCTCCAATGTTAACCTTGCCAACGATAAGTGTTGTCCGTATTCTATGTGACACTTGTGTAGTCACACCGTAATCAAGCCCTATTTGAACAGCAGCGAAAAACAACTCTGTTCCGCATTATAACATTCCATCGTTGCAAACCACAGACACTGATGTGTTTACAATTCGACGTTCCGCTAATTTGTCTACAAACATAGACAAACATGAAAATGCAATACAAGCATTTGTTCCGCCTTACATTATTCTAAAAATCATTTATTGCCTTGTTTTTTTGGCGATTTTCCAAAAAACTACACACTATCACAAAAAATCGATACGAAGTCCAGCGAACGAGTCTGAAAAACAATCTGGGTTACTTTTAAAGTGGTGTACTACCTATACACTGTCCCTGCCGGCCTGACGTACCAACTCACTGTAATAAGATTTTGGTTTCTTTGTTAAAATAGGTGATAAACTGAATTTGGTGCTCATACTTTGATAGACATGTAAAATGAAAAAGGGAGAGGGCTATCGGCGCACATAGTGGTTATTATTGCCTACCGTTTGATGTCTGTTGCTGCTAAGGCGCATGATTGAAACCGTTCTTGTGAAGCATCGCACTGGTACGGATGCTCTTGTTCCTCATGTTCCTGAAGCTGTTGTACCTGCTGTTGATGCTGCTGTAGTTCATTCTGGCGCTGAATAGCATTGTGCTCGTCGACTTGACCATGCAGACGGAGGATCACGCTTGTTAAATTTTCGTGACTTTTGCGTAGAGCTGCAATTCGCTCATCTTTAGCTCGAATCTGCTCGGCCGCATTGACCTCAGTTCGTATAAGTGTTCTTCGCGCTTCGGCTAGTGCTTTTTCGGCCTCTTCGGCACGTGCACTAAGAGCCTTCTGCCGATCATTGGCAGCATCCACTTCCTGTTTTCGATAGTCCATGCGTGATCGACAATCTGTGAGGGAAACGTAAACCTTATTGCATTTACTGGCTTAAAGTATAAAAATAAAATGTGAAATTAGATACAAAAAATGAAAGCAGTTCCACATTATTTATTGTATGTTATACTTAGACAAGCCGAATTCATTTTATTAGGGATGATTCTAATTATTATCAGTAAGATATTGCCTACTTAACTATGAGATATAACAGAGATATTGTTTGATAATGGGGGTATAAACTCCGTAAAACCTAAGCACAAACTTGTTTAACGACATATAATTTCCTACAGTGTAATACTGCAAATCATTCTATTACATCCTAAACAGCAGGAACTTTTTTATACTTTCCAATGATATGAGAAAGAGACCTCCAATGATATGGAAAAAAACAACATCTCAAATTTCTCGGCAACCGCCTCTCCAGATCCAATCAAGGTACAAGCTCTCAAATATGCTACAATTTACATTGCAACAAAATAACTCCGCGAACAGCTATTTTGTTCTACAGATAGTTTTTAACGGATTACACGAACGCTGCGTATCACTTGTTTTCTCACTAATTCAGAAATTTCAGAGAGACTTAAGGTGTACTTTCCAGATATATTTTTGCCATCTCAGGGAATGGTAAGAGACAAGAGTACAGGTATTAGTTTGGGGGCGGTTCCAGCCCTAATTAAAGACTAACGAGAACGGTTCGTCACTCAGGCCAGCACGTTATTGTTGACTACTAAGAAAAAAAGTAATTCGTCAGAAACGGAATTCGGCCGTAGTGTGGACAATTCAAAGATTGTGTTTGCGTCTCTGTGGTCGTTTAAGGTATTCGCGGATAATGCAATCCTAAAACGGAGGGCAAACTTAAAATCCGCTGGGCGCTAGCTTTGCCAGAGAGAAGACTATCTACCCAATTAAGACGGCCAACTTAACTGCAACGCGCTCCTAATTTAGCCGCTATAAAGATAACCACAGAAGGGTTGCCGACTGACAGGTGACCCACGAACATCCTCAAGATCACTTGTCAGAAAAACCAATTCACTCAGCAGACGGAAAGGTCCCAGTTCTTTTGGCCTGTAGGTTGGAAATTCCATACCATCGGAGGACCAGTCAGTTGCTCGCTAGTTCTGAGGTTTTATTTAGCTCCTGCGCCGCATAGGATAGGAGTATTTAACACGAAGCTGCGCTGTGTGCAAACTATTGAAGAAAAACAGCGCCGGACTTATATAAAATCCGTGTGTATAAGGTGTTCGCGATAGACGCGTCTCCAATACCTTTCGAGAGAGTCGGTGCAGACCTCAAGATACATTGCATTTACCAAGATTTGTAGCGCTATACGTCCTGTGCACCTCGCTTAAACAGCTCATCTCGACTCAAAGTTTGTTGAATGGCGTGGTCGCAGAGGCCTGTACCTCAATTCAGACCATTTTAGGGGCAGATTAGCTCGTTTATAATTGGCAGAGCAACGTGCTTGGAACACATTACATTGCCAATCAAGGCACACTCTATTCCCGTTCACTTCTTGCTTCCACGCAATCCAAACAAATAGCTATCTGAATCGTCGCTGGTCGCTTCTGCAGTTCTGTCGGGTTATCGATGTCCGAAGCAGCTTTGCCTGCTGTTGATATTTCTTCGGATTTACCCTCTGGATATTGCGCGTGTTTCTGGAAAAGCTTGCTTGAGAGGTTGCCCAGATTGTTTCTCGCACAACTTATCGCATATCACACTCACCATCAGCTCGCATGTGAGCTGGATAATTTAACGAGGCGAGTAAAGCGCAAATTTTGTATTAGAAGTCTAAAGAAAAATACTGCTAATTTGTTTGCATACTTGCGAGGGGCAACTGTCTATGACACTCTACGAAAAGCAACTGCTCATCATACGCGACCGAGTGACTACCTAGCTACTACATATTGGTGGAAAAGAAGCCTTCAAAGAACTTTAAGAAACACGAGGCAAGGACACTGGGAAGCATTATCGGTAACATGGTCGAGATGCTGTGTTGCAAATTGAATGTGTTTAATGAAATTAATTGCATCTTTACTTTGCCGCCGGATGAATACATATACCCAATCAAAATATTAAGAGCAGTATATATATTTCACGATGGTATTAGTAATGAAACGGTTTATGACTCACTTTTAAGCTCTTTGGTGAGTTCTTCTTTGCTATGAACGTGGGAGACATCATGTGTGCCCCTTCGGTTGATTTCTTCCAACCTCCTGTACATTTCGTGCAGTACAATCAGCTCTTGTTCTAAACGAGCACATTTGTCTCGATATATGGCTAATTCCTCGGCCTTTATTCGCAAACTTTCGAGGTTCAGCTGTGATTCGTGTAGCTTCGCACCCAGATGATTCACTTTCTGCAAAATAGAAATTGGCACCCATCAAATATAAATTGGGTGACACTCCTACATTGGAAATACAATTCTATTAGGGTTCTACAATGTCATATTCGATGTATTGGAACATAGTATGCCTGCTTTTACGTAGTTCAGAGGAAAAAAACAGAATATCATCAATGACATTACATAGAATAAAGATGGAGAATAGGTATGACCAGGTTTAAAATTATTCCTGTCTTTTTTTTTAAATACAGCCCAAAGCACTTAAAAAGTAAAACTCACAGTGTTGGCTTCGTCAAGCTGTGCTTTGTTTAGAGCGTTCGTTGTGGCCATTTCGTTATTTTCGGCCATTATCCGTTTGCTTTCTTCTTCCTGTCTGCGAGCCCGATCTAAAAGTACCTTTACTTCTAACTCCATACTACGATCTTTTTCATCCAAGCTCCGCTGTAATTCTAAGATCTTAGCTGTCTTCAGTTTTAATTCTTTGTGAACTTCACGAACCTGTCCGGACTAAATGCGCAAATATGCAAAAGACTAATGTAATGAGAGATAGTTTCAATACGAGAAACAAACTTCATTGAGATTACAAAAGGCATTGAACCATTAAATACACATGCATGCCAAACTAATTTAAGACTATGAAACAATAGTATAAGCAACTGATAAGATAAGCTCAAGTCAAGCAAGGTATCAAACTTAGGTACTTGACTGGTTCATTCGTTGATTACCATGGCAGCATTTTGCTCCTCAAGTTGTATTATCCTTTTGGCCTTCTCAAGAAGTCTTCGATTCCGTTCAATGTGGATGTCCTTTCGGTGTCTATCGTAAAGCAATTCGACGTAGAGCATCGTGGCATGGGCCCTGGTGAATGTCAGCTCCTATAGCGCAAACAGATAATACAATTTACCGAGATAAATTGCATATAGGTTTATTGCACAGACGTCATGTATGTTATATCATTGTAGATGAAACATTGTAAGAGAAGCAAAGCACGCAATTTGTTTTCGTATTACACGCTATTACATATTACATCTTGTATTAATGCGTGGCCAGTTAACGATAATTTATTTAAACGGTAATTTAAATACATTGAATAGGACATTACCTTTTGTAATTCAGCCACGGTTGGCTGATGATCCTTTGCACCGCATTGTTCCCTCTCAAAACTACGTGACATGGCCCCTGCGGCACCCCCTTGCGGTCCTGTTTGCGAACCAGTACCACTTTGTTGTTGTTGTTGGAGTTCCATCTCTCGTAGCACCTGGCCGGCACATGCCCGCATATGCTCCTCGAGAATCTCCGCCGGACTTTTTTCATCCAGGGCATCCGGATCTAAAACAACATAAAGTCCCAATATATAGTCCTCCACTATGTATATATATATATAGTGGAGGACTAAATCCTCGGTCGGCAACTGGTGGCTATCGGCTAGCTCTTTTATACCCTTACCGCGTCCGAATTAGCTATTGTTTATTTTTCACTTGCAACCATAATATTCAGCCATCGCTACTAGCCATGCTATGTCCGCACAGCATTTACGTATCTCTCGTGCGGTTGCATCCTTTACAGTTCATTGTGCCAATGGCATCTTTTTCTTTTCGAAACGATTCCCGGCTGGCAACCCATATACACGCCGTCACAGTCCTCTAACAGTTCTAGCGCCCTTACACTTTTATCCATCGTCGCATTTCATCCTCGACACCTTTTCTTTCTGAAAGACTCTATGATGCGAATCTGGCTATTTAAAAAGGTATATGGCCGTTTGCTTCCAGAACGCCACTCTTGAATCTTTTATCGGTCAAACCTCTTTCTATCGTTACTAATCCTTTGCGGTCAAGCTCTTTTTCATCCCTCGCTTCAGTGTCAGCGGCGGTTAGCATCGCAAACTGCCGCAGCTACTGATACTATTAGTTGTCCCACAGGCGGCCTGCCTAGTTGGCGGTCCGATTACCAATTGGCCTGTTTTCTGTGACGCTGCCACAAAGTTTGTCAACGACTTAGTTGTTCGGATGCTAACAATATATAGTTTAGCGGGTAGGGCTTTTGCACCTTAACCGTGTCCGAACTAACAGTAGTTTGCTGTTTGTTCTATTATATATATATATATATATATATATATATATGTATATAAGCTAGCAAATAAAATAAAAGAGCCAAATACTGGTTTTTTGCATTATACGATTTCATAATGTTATTAAATGACTATAACCAAGGCTGCTTTACAAGGACAATATTCACTCACAAAGAATGGCAAAAGAGAATACGCTGAATTTTATTTTGCGTGATGAATTAGCCATATTTTATAACTGATAGCTCACCTTTGTTTTTTCTTGGTTCCGGACTGTGCGGCCAAAGACTCAATGAAAGACATTTGGAACTGAGGTCTTCGTTACTGCTGCTTGTGGCTTCTGAAAGGGATCCGGAATCATCAGCTTGTTGGCTAAGTTGAGGGGTAGAAGGACATGACATTGACCGGGTGAGTCGCCCAGTGAGTCCAAGGCCTTGAGGGCTACCACTGCCTACACCTGGCGGAGAAGCCTGACACTGGGATAGATACCGCTGTCGCGCTAGCAGGCTTTCCATCTCACTGTGCGCTGGGGGATCATCCTGTAATTCGTAGCCAAACGGTCGTCTGTGAGATACATCACCGCGTTCATTTAAGAACCAAAACGGCTTAACGCCGAATTATCTTTACCTAATTTAACAAATGACAGATATTTGATTATATCTACTGTTTCTGGTAACATCTTAAAATATAGCTCCTATTCAACTTTGCACTGTAACTTTATATACTCTGCGGTACATATATGCGGTACTCTGTGGAACACCAAACAAACATTCACTGGGACACGGCGTTAAATTATACGTTACAAAAAATAATTGTTCTTGAATTCCATTTACCGCCGTACAGAACTACGTGTATTTGTAGGTATAGTTGTTTAGTTTTTTTAACTTACAGGCCAAAGAGGACCGGGAGAACACGAGATCTACTCTGCTAGACTCCTAGGTAAACCTCTTGAAAATAATATATTTTCAACTTGGATACATTACAGTATTGCTACGCTTGTCCTTGTCATCTTAAAGAAAGAATACAAATATAGTCCCACCAGTTGGTTTAGTCTAAATTAAGTAAAAACATAGAAACAAGAGAAACATAGAACTGGTCTAATTTCAAACAGCTTTACAGCTAAAAGCATTCCTTGATTGTCTCAATACACGAGACCCATGTAACATATATACTGACCTGATTCTCAGCATGCTCTGATATGCTATTCGTAGGTTCTTGTGTTAGTCGCTGAGTTGTCAAGCAGAAACCCCTGTCACCAGAGCGATCCTCATCCATAACGGCTGAATCACCCCCTGCGTTAATACCGCCGAAGCCTCCACCCTGTGGTTTACTCTCTTCCTCCAATCCCTCCGATGGAATAGAAGGCAAATTCGCCGACGACCTTCTCCGTTTCTGCGGTGTACCTTTTTGGGGAGTACCAGTTCCGCTTGTGCCAATGGCAATTTCGCCTACTTCTTTTGGCAACGGCTCTTCTGCAATAGCCTCTTCTGCAATATCCACACTGCCAAGGCTACTCGACACATCGCTTGGGGGATGCGCTGACATCACGTCCAGCAGGTGAGGGGTTTTACCCAATACTCCGTCCGACGCCGGTATGTCCCCGACAAAATCTTTAGCTCTCTTAGGAATGCTACATGGTTTACTGGCGGGCAACTTTGGGCGACTTGGTCCTATAACACCGTGATCCCTTTGATGCTCCTGAAGAGCTCGCAGTTGCAGTTGCTGTTGCTGTTGTTGCTGTTGCTGCTCGGCAAAGTAATTCTGACAGTCCCCTATAATGTCATGCTTCTGTTGACCCTTCCATCGGTCTTTATGAGTTTCGCTCTCAACGTTATATTGTACGAGAAACGGATGAAAATAGGTTCGCTTCATCATGGGCCAGATGATCTCAATCCAAGCGGGCTTGTTTTGAGTACTGTTGGAACTGCCGTAAGTATTCCGAAGGAACGCGAGAAAATTACACGGGAACATCGAATATAAAACCTAAAAGTAATCACCACAAAATCGCACACATTGCAGGCGCATTTAGTGCTTGAATCTGCTATACGTAAAAGTGTAATATTGCTTATTCGTCTTATAAGCGAATGGAGACTTAGATCGGAAAGAAGAAGTTTCTGAAATTCGACGTTTCGAAACTGTGTTGCAATAAGCGAAGAAAGAAGAAATTGTGACTCTAAGATAGGGTTCAACAAAAATGACCTACCTTTCTGGCATTTCTCTCAAAGTTGTTGGCTTCCTTTCTTATTATGGCTGAAACTACTCATCGGTATAAGACATGTTTGTAATTATAACTTTACCTTACGCATTGTACCGTAGTGGAGCAAAGGCACCTCGGCTCATATTCAAGTAAACCTTTCTCCTATTTAACACCTTGTGAAAATTACGGTTTTGAAAAAACGTGAGCGATGATAAGTGGTACCTTATAGAAAGTGAATAATCCGCTGCAAAGATGCTGTCTATTGAGCTCAGCCATCGTTTGCTTCTTCCGTACGCACATATCAGCTGCCATAGAAAATGCCGAAAACATATTTTCTAGGCCTTTTTTATCGAATGCTCCGGGTACGAGTGGTAAGAGAGAAGCCATTATCACGATAGCGATAAAACAAGTAGTCACCTGTATAAAAAAAACGAATTTGAAGATCCATTCTTTGTTTCATTCTGCTAAGCTAATGGGCAATTCGGTATTTTGCAAATGTATCATGAATGTTACTCGCAGAAAAAAAGTATTGCATGCCATCACAATACCAGATGCTAATAAAACGATTTCGCAATTTTATAATATTGTTGAGTTATGAGTTCAATTGATCATCATTGTACTGAATCACTTTACAAAAAAACTTGGGCGCCATGGCCTCCAAATAATCAGTTGGCCATACACAACTAGAAACTGTAATATCTTCAGCTAAAGTTTCAAGAATGCTTTCTGTGTCAGCAAACCATAGCTTTCCTTTCTTGTTGTTTGCGTCATTTTGGAAGGAACGTTTTTATTTTTATTGTTCATACAATTTTTCATTTCAAACAAAGATAATGCAAAATCGTCGATTAACTTCTAAAATAATCAATCTTTACTACTTAAGACAACGAAATAGTTATCGATGTACGTTTATGCACATATGACACATACCTCGCCGCCCTCCCTGCTTTCCTTAACGACGTACAGCATCTCCCGAACAATTTTCTGATGAATGTCGTGCAGCCAAGGTGGGTCTGCTTGTACAACGCATAGCAACATTTTCAACGCCGCAGTTCTAACCGACGCATCCCCCGAACGAAGGTGCTCTGAACACCTTTGAAGTTAAGAAATTAAAGGCTTTATTTAAAGACACAAATATATGTATATACTTCTGCTCATATTAGTCGAAGATCAAATAGATGAGGGTTATGATTCTATATCTTCTATAGCTTCTGAACAGAATTCGACTAATATTTCACAGTTATATGGAGGGTGACTTGTAGTTGTCATTACCTTTCAAAGAACCATTTGTGATGAGGATCCCTCAGGCCCGTTAGTAGGACGAGCACACGAAATGAACGAGATCGCAGGTACAATAATACCAGCTGCTGGACTAGATCTTTGTCTTTAGCTGAAACACAAGGTGACAAGTTACATACCAATCTGATACACTCATTTCACAACTTTACTTAGTATAATATTCATATATACCACTAAGTCTGCGTGTCTGTCTGTCATCCCCAAATTGCCAGGGTTGCTTTAAAACATACTGTATATCAATTTTTCTCCCTCTTACATTGTGATAAGCTTTTCCGAATATATCTATAAGCCGGTCTTAATTATTTCATAGCTCAATATCTTACACATTTTATGTACGTACTATTACCAGGTAAAGCTTTATAAATATTTATATGAACATCTTAATTACATACGACTGCAGGCTAATCGAAAATAATTATTTTTAAGGAACGGATATTCAATGTCAACGCTTAATGGTTAAATTTCTGTCTATCGACGGTGATCGGCAGCTAGAATCTACATTGGAAAACGTTGGGGAAGAAAGCGTTCAACGAAACAACAGTCCGTTACTGAGGAAGTAGCTTTAAGATAAAAAATTGAAAGAAGTACTAAACTAATCACCCAGTGGTGCTTGTCCGTAATGAATGATAACACTCTTTTGCGTACCTCTGCATCGGACACCCCTAGCAATAATTGTGAAAATGGTGATCTTCTTGCTTAGCTGAGGTCAATATCTGTAGAATGATTTATCTCACTGATGTCAACACATCGTGTATGCTGCGCCTACCTTTTCTAACCGCAAACGGGCGCTATAGTACGGCATGCCACTTCACCGAAGTTGTCGAAATCCGCTTCTCTATTTTGGTTTTGGCCCAGTTTCCCGCAAATACGATCAACAATTATGTATATAGATAATAATAATAAGCATGACTAAAATCTTCTAGATTGAATTCGTATTACACTTAGTACTATAATTATCGGGGTAGCCTCACGCGCGCAATCCAAAAACGTCTAGGAAGTTTTGGTTGAAGGACATTAATGACTTTGTCATAGGAAGAGCTCAATTGGAAGCATGAATTTCTGCGGCGACAGAAGATTTTTGGTCACAACACAACATGAACGAGATATGGCTCAGTCTATCCCGCCTACTACAAAAGAGTACAGCGAGGTAATGTTGTTAGTTATAACAGAAAGCGATTTCTATGGTAGTGCTGAATAAGTTCGGACGTAAGCTGATGGTCATACTTACAATGAATACTAGGACGTGTGTAATTGAGTTATTGGCCAAAAAGGAAATGGTCTAAATGGCTAAAATCTCGAATTCCTAAAAAGCCTCATTGACGTGTGGGGCAGCAATCAAAACCACAGTGTGATTACTTGACAGTATACAACCTATATCTATTCACTGAGGCAAGCCGTCGAGAATGAAATTAAGTATGGTGATGCAAATGACGAATACACAGTTATTCAAATTCCTTTAGAGCGCTGGCTTCGATGCGTTAGAACACATTTTGTTCTATTTCACATATGGTTTCAAATTTACTCAACTTTTTTGACTCATTGTATAACTCAGCATAGCCGGTATTGCATCATAAACTAGGTCTACAGCAGGCTTAGAAAGCTAAAGCTAAGTGTTCTACGGGTTTTACGTCCGGTACCGCCGTTAGACATTTCATCAGGAATACGGCTGGGTCCCAGAGAGAAACAAAGTGTACCGCACTCGAATTCGAATTCAAACCAGCTTGTATCATTCAAGTTTAGGTGGCAAACACATTACCCATAACGCGGTCACCGGACGGGTCTAGGAAGCTAGAATGACCATGATTATCCTTGACTGTTTACTTAAGGGTCTCGAGGCTTTGCAAACGTAAACAGATAAACATTAAACGCAACAGTTTACCAAAGCAATAACGTATTCTTCGGGCCTTTGACAGGCCACGTAATGTTGATACGTAATGTTAAATTGATCATTACTATTACCAAGAAGCAGTTACAGAAATAATAGTTTGCTGCGATAGTGATCTGGCGCAAGCGGAAAGGTAATGGAATGAGTGAAAGATAAAAGAATAGCGTTTACTTTTTAAATGTGTAACCTCATCGTAGGGATTATTGTTAAACGAACTACACTAAAACAGGTAGATCCGGTAGCAGCGAACTTAATGTTTTAACACATGAACTAATGAACTAATGAACTTAACAAACGTTTCCAAACCTATCAAAAAAATACGGCAAAAAATCTATAGATCGACCTAACTGCTGAGGGTATGCTATATATACAGAGGAACGATAACCAACGTGGTTAACAGCAGACGTTCTCTGGGTACGAGACATGATCTTGATGTACCTTCGGTATTCTTAATAAACTAGTTCAACTGTCTGCTTGGCAATGGAGCCCCGATATATTCATATGGTCGCCATTTGTAGAGTCATACATTTCGTACATAATATCGTCAACTAGGAACAAATCATTTCCATAGTTTTTATTTGAAGTTAGGGCACAGATACAGTGGTATGTAAAAATATTAAGTGGATTAATTATAAACCTTTAGGACGAAAAGAAGCTAAATCGCAGAAGATGTGATGATCGTTATGGACGAATCGCATACGGTATGTATATCTATATATAACGTTTCCACCCCTTTTACTCAAAATTCCTTACTTGCGATAAAGTTTTTATATATTTTCTCAAATGTCTAACGACACTTGAATACCCATGACGACTATGAATACAGACTCGCATATATTTGCAAGTTCGATAAGCGATTTACAAATTAGTTTTATATATCTGTGCACTATTATCTTATCTGTGCAATAACTTGTCTTCAACTTTCAAATAGAAAACGTGAAAAGCATTTATACGAAGTTTTATACGAAACGAAATGGCGACTTTTTGAATGCAACGAGGCTCCACTACCAAGCGGACAGCTGAACTGGTTCGTTAAGCATGCAAAGGGTTAGGCTACAACTGATAAATAGAATGAAAATAAAGCAACAAAAAAGGGTTTTGTTGAAAACGTATACTTCATTACTAGTTAATTAAGCATAATCGACGAAGCGACAATTACACATGCTTTATTTGCTTTGGCAAATAAATTGAACCCGTTTTCTCTCAGCATTTTTCACTGAACTGTTAATCGTAGTCACACTACACAAACAGGTGGTTCTTTGGCCGTCTGCTTTGAACAGACTAGTTCCGGCGAACAAATGGAACTTTCTGTCGTGGCTTCGGCTGTTGCGGTCGGTCAAACAGCCAGGCCACGTCAGGCCAGATAATACTTAGGTGTCGTCTATTGTGTTCAAACAAGGCCAGTATTTGCTCATGTCTATGCATGTACCATGAAATTCCTCTTACTGTCAAATACATAAGGGCATGTATTATGTCGAGCTTCTTGACAATCTGCCATGCGACTTATAATAAAGATTTATATCGCTACCAAATATATGACTCTATCTATATTCAATACAGCGTTTATTTGAGAGAACAACCAAGTAGAAAGATGAATGAAAAGCGAGGTCTGATTGCGAAATCTGGCAATCAATACCCGCAATTTGGAAGCTTTCTATTCCAACTTCTGTTTCTATGAAAAGCATTTTTGTTAAAGACGTTCTAAAAACATCTTTGTTCTTGAAACAGTCCAATAACCCATGCCCTCCAAAACATTTATTATCGATCAATCATCAAATCATTGTTCCACCAATTACTTAACAGTAACGTACATTAAGCGTAAACTCATTCAATTATCGCCCAAATACATACTCATAAGGAGTTCCAGCACACTCAAATCTTGGGCTGATCGCATGTCAAAAATCTCCAAAATGTCCAGAACGGACAAAAAGTTTAAAAGACGTAAAACGTCTCAAAACGACTAACCATTAAAATTGATATAGAAAACCCAAGTGAACATTGATGTTCTGCTTTTTAAAACGGCCGTCAATTTCTGTATCAAAATCCTAAGTATATAAAAAAAATCTTTTGAGTCAATTGAATGTTAGGCTGGATAAAAAAAGATGTTCTTCGCTCCTGTTTTTCGCCATGATGAGTTTGTTTTCTTTGTTCTAGAAGAAAACTGGTTTGGTTTGATACCAGCAGTGGCATATTAACGCAAGTTTGTTACGGCAAACTACCCGCCAAAATTTTCTGCAATTTTAACACGTCACCTTATATATATATAATAAAAATCTTAAAAGTTCAATAGTAATCTTTTATTAGGTACATAATTACAACGCATTACATGAACCGACTACACGCAGAGTTCACTGTTTGAACAAATGATGAATCTTTTTAAAGTAGGAAATCGTCTTAGGGTAAAACACACATTCTCATTCATTCACACAAACTCGAATTTTTTTTGATGTTTAAAAAATATAATAAGGCAATTATTCCATTCTCGTGGTACTCACTTTGCTGAAGGTATTCCTGCACCTCATGCTGAACTTCAGGTAGCTCACAACTCGTATCGTCCGCCTTACGGATGATTATCTGTACTGTAGGTGAAGGGGGCATTTTGGCGCTTGTCGGATACACTTACGAAAACTCCACTATCTTGCACCAGGCTCAAAAATCTAACTGTTAATCTAATCACCAAGTGTTGTTTAATTGCATTTTACAAATTTGCTTTGGTCAACGGAGAAAATCAATGTTTTTTATTTTTTTAGGAGAGCAGGACACCTTCACAATATAACACCAGAGAAGATTTGATCTATAACATTCTCGGTAGAAACGCTAACACGATGTTTCCGAGAAATCTATTCAGTCAACCACTTCGATCAACCCCTAAATCGCACCACCTGCTTGTAAATTCCAGCTGCTGTCGGCGACGATGCCTGTATAAACAAAATGCACAGATCAGAGCGTCGTTTGGTTTGATACAATGGTACGTTAGAAAGTACACATTACAGTCTTAGTTGGCTCAGGTATTATGTAGTACCCAAGGGTAAATTTTACTACCAAAGTCCTTATGATTCGGTGTACATCTCATGCGATAGATTACAAAAAGCCGCTGGTAGCACAACCACTCGTTAAATGATTAGCAGTGTATCTAAAACTCCGCTCTGGACCTCGTAATTATGCGTGTTGCCATTTCTATCGGGTGGCATTTAACGATAAGCTTGTGCAAATTATTTTAGAGAAATAAGGTCGCATACGCATTGGTCTCCACATCAAACCCTACGGGAATGAGGTAGTAATTGATGCGTTTGCCTGTACGCGACATTTACGCGATTATTTACTAATCATGGTTATGCGAATCTTTCGTGTTACATAAATTCTGCTAAAAGGCGCTTGCAATATTTTGACTGGCTTCATATCAAGTACAAAAACGAACTCCCTACCCATGACGGTTTCAAAATGGGTCTCGACAAATTCGCGCGCAGTATAGGCGGCGACACATTTGCATCAGAATTTGATTAGCAAATTTATAAGCCTTACTGGGGAAAACTTCTGCACGCTAAATTTTTTGAAAACATTATTACTGAATGTAACACAACGTAATTAAGCTAGAAACAATATATTCTAGGAATGCTACTTGTCGTGGAAATTATTTCATACTGCGCACTGGACTTCGAGCTACAAAATTTATCGCTCCATCGAACGGTGCAAAATACTTATGCAGGCTTGATAAAACATGAATGAAAAAGTTACTAACTATAAATATACTTTGGTTGGACCCATGGGCACGCTTTCCTGCAACCTAGCCCTCACGGATCGGAGATACTGGCGCGGCGATGCTGATCTGACTAGCGGTGACCGAGAGTACAGAATCGCTGCTACCTCTCTCTGGTTCGCTGTGTTTCGCTCCCTCGCTGGCTGAAGGCACGGCTGAAGGCGGGCGCCTCAGTCACAGGTGGCGGTGCTGGTAATGGTCATACGTTCTAGATTACAAAAAATGCGTCAGATTCTAGATTACGAAATGCGCAAGCCAAAGCTGTGCGCCCACTAACGATCAATCAAAAAGTTTTCTGCACTTGTGTAAGTGACTTCTTGCAAGGCCATACGGAACGTAAGAGAAGAGCTGCTCAGTATCGTTCAAAAATAGTCTACGAACCTTAAAAGGTATGCAAACGTCGCAAGGTTGTTAACTGGAAAAAAACTGCGTGATATGAACAAAAAAAATACCTTTAGACAGTGCAATACACGGTCTGCAACAACCGGACAGTATGTCAGCAATATTATCAATGTTCGCAAATGAAGGAGGGTACTATCTATTTTACTATAATATAGAGTACTATCATTATTATTATTATTGGTAAGTTGAGTATAGAGTTATATATAGTCACCTTTTTCATGATAATAATAATCATAAGAACAATAAATGAATTAGCGTAGTAACGCTAGTGCTGCTACAGTGTATACTAAGGTTAAATTGTTGTTTACGATGATACGATCACTGGCACGATAGACGCGGTAAGAGCTCACCTCCCGTGTCTTTTGTCAGTCTAATCTGCAAAAGATCTCCAGGGTGCTCTATCACAACATAATAAAATAAACATTTATTCGATCCCACTATTTTTTACATCATAATGTGCAATAAAAAGCACAATGAGCAACTGTTTCAATCAAGAAACACAATGTAGGTACATGTGACCGTCACTAATGTGCGCGTTATTCCAGCCCTGTCTTAGTCCCTCTTCAATAATGGGAAGCTGCATACAAAATGCGGCAGTTCAGAAACAAATTATCATTATGCACTATTATGCCGTATCATGGCACAATTTAAAACAGACACAGTAATAGCTTAGATGACAAAAAAAAGGTGGACGGCAAAGTCGACGACGACGACAAGAATGTTTGAATAGCAACAGAGTTTAGTTCGAGTGGACGGATACACAGTCCAGATATTCATCACCCATCCCTGTCCATTGGCTGCTTCAATGGTCAGTCAGCCAATCTTAGTGAAGAAGGCAAACAAACATGAGAAAGAGCAAATTGTGATCAACACACTGTCATTTTGTCGTTAGCTCCTTTTCATAGACGAAATAGATCTTTGTACTCACTCATAGGAATGGAGCAAGCGAGCGATGGGCCAATCGTGATGATGACGATGATGCTGATGCTGACATGATGAAATGAATGTTGAATGAACTTTCTTCTCGCTTTTAACACGGCACCAGCACCAACCCGGGGGAAAGAGGCGAAGGGAGTATCAATTATCAGCACACGTTATTTAGTACTACAAAAAGTACTGGCAACTGTAACAGCGGCACTAGTTAGAGTAGTAAGTTACAGCTATTAGATGCGGCAACTGTTAACAATACACAAGGCCGGGCTTACAGCTGTTCTAGCGCAACTCTAGTGCAATTTGCTTTTTTATTTTCTAATCGAGGTGGGTACTGTGATACCAAATCATACATACAACAACAACACACACACACACACACAAACCGAGAAAAGAAGAATCGCTAGGCTGCTAGCTAACCGGACGACGAAGAACTGTAGCTGCGCCCTTAGAGCGGTGGAGATACTCTGTTATATGGAATAGAAATTCTGCCAGCTGATCGGGGGCCCGTTTGTCTGACGTCAGCTTTTGACTGGTCCCACCGGGCCATTCCCGGCTGTCGCACTCATCTATTCGTCCAGATGAGAGCTCGTTGGAGATCTCGTATAGATGGCTCACGCTTCGCCCAGCGCACAAACTGCAGCTGAGCACGACACGGCTTAAACCCACTAGTCAACAAGATCTCGTTAAATTCTCGCTCTCAGACGGCCACGGGGGCAGCCATTTTTTGTGATGATACTTCTTCGCCAGGGGGCGCCGCTCGTATCTCGCTTGTTAGAAATCGCATCGCGTTCAGAGCGACCGTCGTCGGCGAACAAACACACAACATATCGGAATGCTAATCACAGGCCGACAAGAAACAACACACAGACACAAGTATGCAGCTAGAACCACACAGCCGCAGAATCCCAGTTATAAGCAAACCAAAACAAACGCCCTTTGACAGACTGTGGCCGGAACAGCGACCAAGAATTACTCTGAGCTTACATTTCAAACTTGCCAGTAGTATTAAAATATCCCTCAATGATTGTAATCGCACTTAGAGGTGTGAATAAAGATCTATGCATTAATATGCTCTAGGAATCGTACGTGTGATTCTACTAGATGCAGCCGATCTGCATCTGCAACGCTATTTGAACTTTCCGCCGCCATGTAAACATTCAGTTTTTGCAAAAACCGCCCGACTTAAATCAAAATATCGTTTTCGCTCGTATTTGCTGACATTGTTGTCGACACGATCTATGCTAACGAAACAGCGATAAGTAAGTGAGCTACGTTCAAAAACTTCGTTGGTTAACCGTGTAAGTGGCGCCCCCTGGCAGGCCATTCGTCGGCGGTAACAGCCATGTTCTGTTTGATAGTAGGAAAGTGCTGCCGTTACCGCCATCGTCGTCGCTAGTGTGTTGTTATGTTATTATGTTGTGGGTCGTAGGAACTACTGCTGTAGCGGCGGGATTCAGAAATGTTGTGATGGTGATATTGCCGCTCCTGCTTTCGACGGCGATATTGATATGTGTATGTAGCCTGTGGCTTTCAGCCGTGCGAGTCTAGCTACTGCTACTATTGCTGCTGCTGCTGCCGCTGCCGCATGCTCATGAGAGTTGCAGTAGAGGTAGAACTACTGCTGCTGCTGCTGCTGGCGCTGCCGCCGCTGGTCGTAGTATTACTGAGTTCTGAAAGTTTGGCAAGCGAGTCTTCGAGGCGGGCGACAGACTCATCAAGTTTCCCTGTGTGTACTTCTGAGTTAAGTTACATTGCTCATGTCAACTCGTACGTAACGAGGGGACGGCGAGTTGCTACTTCTTGCCTGTGAAGTTACTGCTGGTACTGTAATTATCACATGTCATTATTATTGCGACTACTTAGATTGCTGTTTTAAAAGCTATTCTTGCTAGTTAGTATGCTGCTAGAATGAGACAAAGATCTGTGCATGAATATCTGGTGAAATCTACTGCAAAAAAATCCTATATGGGTGTCCCGCACAGCGGATGTACGGGCATACACAAAGAATTAACACCTTAAAATCTGCCGAAAGAAATTAGCAGTGTCCTGTGAGCTGTCACCGTGTAAAACATCTATATTGTGCCCGTGTGTCATCAGTATAATTTTTCCTTTGAACTGTATGCGTGAAATGCGAAGGATGTCCGCGAATTAATGGTGATGATAGTGATTAGTGGATAAATGGCGGAAATAGAGAGATCAAACGGGAAACCGTCATCCATGTGTTTGTGCTTATTTGCGTCCAAGACGAGGGATATATATAGGCGAAGTAGCTGAGCGGTTGCCATTTCTGTCAACTACAACCACCACCGCCATCATCATTAGTGAATATGTTTAGAATATACCTGTTGCTTACCCGGAGCTACTCATTGTACGTATTACTGGCTCGTCGTTAGTTGTTGTGTCGGATCCTCCATCGGATCAACGTAATTCGATGTTTCGCGAAAGCAGCCGTGAGTGAGTGTGACACAAGTAACGACAACGGCAGCGACGTTAAAAACAATAACAATAGCCAAGTCAATAATAGTCAATAATAAATCTACCTTTTATTATAAATGTAATAAAACAACAAAGCCAGAAAAGAACTTCCACCGACGGTCGTCGGATCAAGTGAGCGCCTCGATGGCTTGTCGACCCAGCCGGCTATTGCTTTTATATCAACAGCAAGCTCTACGAACGGAACATCGTTTCTGCTTGATGGTGATGATGAAGGAGGGCTCTGCCACCGCCGCCTTCAAGTAGCGATGCAACAGGTTTGTGTTTATTATCATAATGTTGATAGATCGTGTTTTAAACACACTTACGAGGCGCAAAAACATTTTTCACGACTAAAAATAACCAAAAACAAAAAACGTTTGTTGTGATATTTCAATATCGCTACAACTTATCATCAAAATAAGGAACTTACTTTTTGAAACTATGGACATCTAGCATCAGAATCAGAGTTAGCTTACTTTTTTTTACTTACAATTTAATTTTGAAATGGCAATAATAGATAGACAAATTAGACGAATTTTAAATAGTACATTATAGAAAGCATTTCGTAGTTTCCTTCGATAATAGGTAGCTCATCGTCGAAAAAAAAATCCTGCTATGTACTGCTGAGGACAGGTGAATAAAGTGGGTTGGATGGTCAAGCATATTCCGAAAAACAGTGACCACATTTTAGTCTTCTCCCGATTAGAATTCGTGAACGGTAAAAAATATTTTGTTGTTTACCATTTGCAGCACTATTATTTGTCGCCCACTGTCTCCTGTCTCGTTTTTCGACGCTAATCGAGCCTGAACTACAGTAAGTTTGCGGTGACGCAAATGAACACGGCAAAGGCATGGTGCCTTGGCCATCGTCGCAAGTTATAAGCATCGTCACACTTTGTTTATTTGCTTGCTACTGTATACAAGATGTTGTTTTAAGTCCTTGTTTGTGCATGTGTACGTAGAAATCGGTTAGTCACAAATGCTGTTTCTGCGGCTCCTGGGAAGTGCTGTCGTGAGATTGGCGGGATTGGAAGTGCTATCGGCGAATATTGTCACAATGGTAATGATGTTGGCGATAACAACGACGATAACTACGCCGCATCGTGCTCGTGGATTCTAGTGGTGACGCTGATTCTGGTGTTGACATTAGGTCTCCGTCGGACCTGTGCTTGCACTGCATCGTCAGCATCTCAGACATATCTGTCGCCCGTCGCGCTGGTGGGATTGATGCGGCTGCCGGAGACACGGACGATTCGCTTCCTGATGATGTACTTTGTTGCCCCGCTGGGCTGAGCTTACCCCACACGGCCACGAGCGGCAGGACACGAACAACCTTTGCTGCTGCAGCCGCTGCTAACATGTGTGCTAATGTGCGGCGGCTGTACCTTAGTGATTGTGGCGTTAAATCATTGTTGTCATTTGGATCCTGACCGAGTTTATTCGTATATATCGCTCGTTATTTTGTCTTGGCCGGGGGTTGCAGCTATGTTTTGTCCTTCGCGATGCGTCTCTATTCAGCACCACGGCGATGGTTGCTGTCGTTGATGACAGCTGGCTGAACGCGGACACTGCTTTGCTTGGGTTTTTACTAATTAATTGTATAATTACACTATGAAAATATATAACTGAGAGGCTAGCTGATCATTTATTTGACCAGCGCAAGTTAAACCACACAGGTTAACCGATTACACCCTGCGCTTTACTGCAGTAATAGCCGGCGATACATTAGTACTAATAATAATGCAATATAAATTGTTTTTTTTCAAAATTAGCTGCTAGATTCGAATAGATTAAGACGGAGGGCTTTGTATCAGTTCATACAACGAATTATAGATGACAGATTTGTCGTGCTTGGTGGCAATAGGCGCATATCACAGAGAAATGTAGAATGAAGCGGCTATTTTCAGTCCAGAGGAGAACCAAAAGGACGTGCACCTACATTAAGGCACCAGTACCAGTACACCTAACTGCCATTATAATTTGCCGCCAGATTAGATCAATCGGCGGAACTGTTTTTTTTAATAGAGCTACTCACAACCGGCTAAGAGCAGTACTGACAGGAACGGTTATGATTTCTGTTCTTGTCAAAATAACTTTTAAACAAACCATCAGAGCTGACGAAGAGAAACACATTGAATGACACATAGTAATACCATTAAGTGTTCTTGTATCGCTATTTTCTCCGAGTTTATGAAACTTTATACGATGACACTAATTTCAAGGATTCTTAAGTCTACTGTTTTTGTTCAGAGTTTGTAGAAGGGTCGTCGGAATCGTTTGTCTATATAGGCAATTTATAATGTAAAAGATACCTTATACATTGTATAGGACGGAAAAAGGCGCAGGATTGATGCAATTGACGTGATTAAAGGTCATCAGTTATCATAAGATTTATACTTATAGAGCTGGTAACGGACTCGGTATTCTGTCCTACGCATAAATTTTTAGACAAAGCGGCGAAGCAGTGTCTATAATTAATGTCAGTTTAAATAGCTTATTGCCCGGCACTCGTTGCTTTCGCATGATTTAATCAAGGGTTTTTCGGACTCAAAAAGAGCTTTTGACATTACGAGCCACCAGGTGTATCACAAAGTTTCGCAATAACCTTAAATTTGCGATTATAGCAGTATTCCAGTTCCAACATGTAATAAGCGTGCGTACTTGTTCCTTATTTAAGCATTTAAGTTTACATACCCCGGTCGAAATTTAACTCAGTCTGTTTGCTGGATTTTAACTCTGGCCTTTTTAACATTTCGAGTTTTACGTCTGGTACTGCCGTGAGACATTCT